AAATATTTTTCTGAAACCTCCATCACACCAAACCGCATCTCACGATTTCCGAATAATCATAGACTAACGGTCACTAATCACCACACATTAAAAAATGCGCTCTAGCATTGTTACAACATAATAATACAGCAAAACAAAAAATTTCTTTACTTATTCATAAAGTGCAACGTGACCAAAACATCCTAGTGACAATAAATAAATATACAGATTTGAAATAATCGTTCGGAAACAAATCCAAAATTGCATAATTGGCAATTGGAGGTGGCTCCCCATTTTGAATTTGGGCGGAAATATTATATAATCGGACGCTGTTACAAAAATCGTGCTGGACGGAAAAGAAAAACATGCGGGTACATAAATGACGAATATCGTATTTTACAATTTTAGCAAGACCTTGGTCAATTTGTTAAATCATTACTTTGGACTTTTAAAGAAGTACTGTAGTAGTAAGTGTTTGTTTTCTGCGTAATTTTGCCATTCTTGTGTGTCGTGAGTGCCCACGTCACACCAGACCGCATTTCATGATTTCCGAATAATAATCGACTAACGGTCACTAATCACCACACATTTATTCATTTAATTGAAAGTTTTATTTATGACAATAAGGAGAAAAAGAGAATTATTAGTTATATGTAAAAATTCTTTTTAAAACCTTTAACTTATTTTTTAATATTTTTTTATACTCTGTATCAAAATATTTACTAAAAATATGGGCGTACATTTTCTCCCTGTCACATCACTGCACCGGGAGAACAAAAGAGCAACAGAAACCTGCCGATACTGACAGTCAATATAAGGGATGAAACAAAAAGAAAAGTGCAAATAAAAACAGCCAAAACCGATTTTTTTTAAATTTGCAAAATTGATTTTCTATTAGATAATTCCAGCTAAAACACAAGCCACTGTATGCAGATATCGCTTTAAAAAATGGCACAATATAAACTTACTTAGCGTATACAAGACATGTTAAGAGAATCCGATGCTGGCACCCAATATGAAAGATTAATGGTCGAAGCCATCGTCGATTAAGGTGACGTGGCTGGTTCGGGATGAGAAAGTAGAGTCTGCTTGGGCAGTAGGGTTAGGATGAATCGAGAAGTAGGGGTGGAACTTTTTGAACTGGGAACGGGTCAGTCGATGAAAAAATGAATGGTGAGGTTGTCGTGGAGCTAGTGAAATCATTAGAGCTTTAACAAATTGTCCAAGGACTTTGATCCCGGAAGCCCACATTTCAACTCTGTTTTTATTTATTTACTTTTTACAAAGCCTATAGCTTTGCACTCCGTACGTCTAAATTTGTATAAAGTAGTAGTATAATATAAAACAAAACAAGTATAATTTTGAATTGTCACTGTCAAAACTGATTTCGGTCCTAAATATCTTTCAAGTTATCTGTTAAATAGTTCTCTTAAGGTTCCTGTGGGGATTTCCAGGACAGTATCCATTCTAGGGACAGTCCTAAGTATCTAAGTTGAGTGAAAGTCGAAAGATCTGTTGATTTTGTTTTTGATCTGTTGTTGAGGAGGTGTATACTGGAGGGAAAGGGTTTTTTAATATACACTGGGTACATTTTTCCTTGCTCAGTCTTTGGTAAACTCAAATTGTACTTGGATGTTCAAGTTTGTTTTGTCTGATAGGATTCGAGTTAGAAGAAAGAATTTGCGGTGTCAACCTATTTGTGGTAACGATGATGTTGGGATGTCTAGGATAAATTGTATACAGCGTGGGACCAATAAAGTTCCCCTGTAAGACGCTGGCTTGTGTGGTTGTTACGGCCCAACATTGACTGACAAAACTAGACCCTTCGCTCAGTGTTGACGGGGGTGGGTCAAAATCATAAAACAAAAGAATAACAACAAGAATAAATTACGATGAACAAATTAATTTTAAAATTTGGGCGTCAGTGAAATAAAATAAAATTTAAATAAAAACTCCCTAGCTTGAGGAGGGGAAACCTATTACTTATAGATTCACCCTAAACCCCTGGAAACCACATAGAGGGTTGGTTTTGTATTGAACTCAAAAAATAGCACCTTTATTAAAACAAACGGACAAAATTGATATATTCTCTGAACTACTAATTAAATTAAATTAAACTACTTATTGCGGTTGACCAACGAAATAGCTAACCTAATATAAATCTGCCCTCAGGGCCTGTTAACTAACAAAAAGATGTAAAAAGTCTCTTTCAAGTCGCACACACAAACAAAACTTACGTGGAGTAGCCATTATTGGACGGTTTTTATTGGTGTCACTTCACTCTCCCCGAACGGTTGGAAAATCATGCTTCTCATGACAGCCTAAAAGGATGAATCGAAAAATAATATATTCAATAAGTTCACTATTTTTCCTGGTCCGCGTGACCAATTAATATCATTCAATTAATAGCGGGATTCGAAAAAGAGGGAAAATTCAAAGAGGTGGGGTTGAGGTGGGAAGTTAGTGCCCGAGTGGATCGAAGTCACGGTAGATCAAATGGTAGAGTAGCGGCGTATCAAGCTGAAGGTCGTGGGTTCGAATCCCGCTCGTGACACTGACTTTTTTATCTCAACAAAAACCTTAATTAAATGGATATTCAATAAGTTTTCCGATATAATCTGTATATTTATTTATTAAATATCTTGTTTTGTCCAAAACTATAATCGTTATCTAATCTGTGAGATATACTAAACCAGCACGACTTGTAAGCGTTGCGGAAGTGTTGGTATGTTGCGCCGTACGGCAGACGCTTAAACTTACTTATTATTATTATTTATTACAATTTAGCTTTCCATCCCATAGAACTTATTGTACTTAGAGCTTACCTTTTATATGATATTAACAAAGTTGTGTAATATTTGGTATATAATATTGAAACCAATGAAAAATTCATTAAAACAAATTCCAATCACCTTCCCTCTCTGAAAAGTCAAACGATTGAGCTTCCTGCGTGTTATTAATCGTATATTGTAATAAATAGATATTAAACAATAAATAGATATTAGCAATTGATAGAAAAAAGGTAAATATGAGTCGGCTTTTTATACTAACTTAGCGTAAATAGAAAGAGAGGAATAAAGAAAAAGAATGAAATAATTGAAATCATAACTCAACAGTTTGTTGTATGTATTTATTCTAGTTTCCATTTGGTAATAGTGAATGGAAATATTGCTGGAAAATATACCACCGCGGACCAATATCATTTTGACTTAAGAGATCGTGTTTTCCTCGTAGGTCGGCCGTAAGCCGTCGGCCCTCCTGTTCCTCTCGTATCCATCCTCTTCTTGATTTAGTAGTTGTTATTGTGGGGTTGTGATGGATACAGCCCAAGGGGTCTCCGGCCCCCCATCTTCCATAACTTTCACAAAATCAAACTGTATAATCCATTGCCTGGAAAACGCATTCGACAGTTCGACAGGGCCGGAGAATCGATCGAATCGCAATTTCTATAAAGTGACGAATTGATGGATGAAGAGGCTAAAAAAAAACTTTTGAAAAAATTTGCAAACTAATAATTGTCACTGCTGAAAGGATTGACTGTTATTGATAAGTGAGCCGTTTTAGGGGGGGACAACAGGTGCAAAAGGCTTTCTATGAGTTATCGTCGCCGTTAACGAAGTGAGAACTGGGTTTAGGCCTAAGTCCCTCTACGACCCCCTCATTAGCCACTCCGCACACTCTTACGACATATATCACCACGTCCCCCTCGAACAAATTTCACAAGCCGTAAGGACGCAATCCCTTATAGAAGGCCTTCTTCTTGAGGCGAATACTGAAACACAATCTACGTCCTCTATATGATGCTAGTAAACATAACTTATTGTATAATAATTGTGTTATATTACTTAATTATGAATACTGTAAAATTCATAATTTGAATGACCATAAAAATATTTTAAAAAATCCTGATTAGTAGAAGATTAATATGGTGAAATCACATTTTTGATATGAAAGTGCGCTTAGCTAAATTGATCTTTTGAGCTTTACACTTTTGAAAATACAGATAAGTACGAATGTAATATTATATTAGTTTAACACTGTATTTGAATTATGTGGAAATAACGTTTATACACCAATTTTGCGGTGTCTTTCAAATAATTTGCACCCATTTGTGTTTTTAAGTCCGCACGTTCTTTGTTCATGCTTGTGTCAAATTGTGCTTGGAAACTTCGACTTTTGCGTGCCTTGACCAGAGCAACAGAAAAGTTCAAGAACAAGACAAGCCCAGGACGATGTGGGGACTCGTCGTATCAAGACAGCGTACAGTCACAGGAGCCCAAATAACGACGTCATCTAAAGAATGCGAAGAAAACGAAAATAAAACGAAGAAAAGGACCCGAGAGGAGGCTTACTCATCACTATAAGAAAAAAAACCTTAATCCGTGCGTTGTGTAAAGAAAATACAAAATAGTCATGAGAAACTAATATATATGTGGATTGATTATAAAAGTCAGTACAAAGTTTCATAGCAAGGAGAACGTTCCGGGAAGGAAGGGGGTGCATGGCACGGGCTAGCGTGTAGACACACATTTGTCGGCGGATCAAGTCTCGGATTTTAATTACTGTATCCTGGGGTCCCCTCACGCACGACACGACAATCTGAGTTATTGCACACCTTTCACGAACGATCTGGAATTAGTGCGAGTCCGAAAAAGGGTCGTTTGAGGTAGGGAAGGGGCTCGGGGAAGGGAGAGCTAAAGGGCGAAAACGGCTGACTGATGTCGAGCATTACTACATAGCCATTCGGCTTCCCTTGTTTTTAACCCTCCACAGTCGTTGAGAGACAAATGCCAGTACACTTGTAATCCTGTTACGTACCCGCAGGTATAATTTTAGCTTTTATTATACCGTAATTTGTAGACTTCTCTCCTTCCGGGCACGATGTGATATTAGAGCGATTTGTTTTACTGACTTGTTAGATTAAGAAAGAATTTACTCCCACAAAAGCTGAAAAAAAAATTACTCCACCCTCTTGTATTTTTCACGGACGCATTCTGAGTGATTGATACGATTTGTTGCAGATCGTCCGGAGGTGGTGGTCAAATGGTCGGGGGAAGACACAAGAATGAGAACAAGCCGAAGATAGCCGACCTCTTGACCAAGAAGCTGCAGAAAAAGGAAGAAGAAGAGTCAGGAGCGAAAAGGAGAAGAAAGAAAGAGGAGATCGCCGGAGACAGTGAAATGGACGATTGTCAGCGATCACTGCCTCAGAAGAAGCGGACGCTGATCGCCGTATCGCCATCGAGGAGCCCGGCGAAAAAATCTTCAAAACCGAATCCAAGCCTACCCGAGGAACAGGACGACGAAACGCTGATCCGGGAAACGGAAGCCGCACTGAAATCTTTGTCCGGGAGTTGGCCCGCGAGGGAAAACAACTACAGGGATCAGGACGAATCGCCGGCTTTCGAAAACCTGTTCGAAGAGAAGAAAAAGTCCCTCGGAGGCTCGGACGGCTGCTGTCTCAAAGACGTCATCACTCTGAGAGGGCCCCAAGAAGGAAAGCATAAAACGGACATAAACAAAAATTCAACAATAATAAAAACTGAAGAAGGGGTCATGAACGAGGTCGAAGTGAAAACTGAAGACAAGAAGCCCGCGAAGGATAATAACGAATTAGAACATCTGCTCAAGATAGAAAACGAATGCGCGTCTATTCAGACTCAAGTGAGTAAAGTGAAACAAGAAAAATTTTCCAGATACGAACCGGATTTTAACGAACTCGTCGACGACTCGTCCAACGAGCTGGAAATCGATATGTCCGACCCCGGACAAGAAGACGACGATAAAAAAGATATTAAGAAGAAAAAAGAAGACAAAGAAGACAAGAAGTACATCCCGTCCGCTTTTAAACCGATTTCGGAGCAGAAGGAAAAGATGATGGAGCTGTTGGGCCCGTACCCGGCGGGAGCGACGTTCGTAGGTTACCCGGGTACGCTGCCGCCCCCGGCCGAACCCGCCCCTCCGCGAGTCGAGGAGAAGAGGATAAAAGAAGAACCCGAAGCGGTTCAAGTGACGACGACGAAGAGAGTGGAATCGCCCGAAGGCCCGATGTCGAAGCATTACACCATCCTGCAACCGGCCGGAGCTGGAAGCAGAGCAGCGACCGCTATACAAGACGTCGCGAGAGAAGGGGTTGTGAGCGTTGCTGCTGTCAGCAGTTCGATGTCACCGCCTTCAAAAGAGAGGCCGCTCTCCCCGAACAGCATCGGCAAAGGTAAACTCTCTTTGTTCCTCATTCAACCGCACTGCATCCCTTTATTAATCGACAGCCGCCGTAAAATAAACCCGAACTCTCATTCATCAACGATATCGATAACATTCCATAATTCATAAACAATTCCGTTCTCGTCGAAACCGCAGTTTGAAAACAATATACTCGCCCCTCATCGTTTACGGGGGAGAGAAATTGTTAAAACAATGGATCCTCGAGTTCGGCCATAATAACAGTTTCAAATTATCCGTTGAAAACGTTATAAGTTTCCTATTGGAACGACACGGGAAAACCTCTGGGCCGTCTTCCACAGGGATTTTTCCGATCCGAAGAATGTTTACAGTCCCCCACTTGTTTTTCTACGACGATGTTAAACCCCCTCCCGTTAATGTTACTTCTCTAAAGGAAGGGTTGGAATTAACCGGCGCCGTAAAAATCTGTAGAGGCTCCGGGGGTGGGCTAATTCGGTTATCTTTTATTTATGGACATCTCGGTGCGAGGGAGGCTAGTTTGTTTCGGAGGGGAAAGGGTTAAAGAGGTTGTTTTTATTTGACAAATGAAATAGTGTTCAATTAGCACTGAAAGCGTTCATTTTAAATCTTAAAACCGTGACGCCTTCCTGCCCGAAAGGGGTTAATACTAAATTATATTTTTAAAGAAATTGTAATCAGTATGTCTCTATTTCTCCCTGGCATATTACTTTCCCAACAATAATTCACAAACAAATAAAGCTCTTGATAATTAATAATAGAATTTTAATTATTAAAATATTGAAACAATTTCTATTTATTTTTACGCTGGACTTACAAACCAACCACATTGTATTTCTATAATAACTTTTATTTTAACACAATAGCCTAAATATAGAAATTTTAACGGAACTAAACAAAATAAAGTTTACTTCTGCTAGATGTAAACTTATTAGCAAAATTTTGATTATTAGAATATTGAAAAAATTTCTATTTATTTTTACGCTGGACTTACAAACCAACCACATTGTATTTCTATAATAACTTTTATTTTAAGACAATAGCCAAAATATAGAAATTTTAATTGAACTAAACAAAGCAAAGTTTACGTCTGCTAGATGTAAACTTATTAGCAAAATGTTGATTATTAGAATATTGAAAAAATTTCTATTTATTTTTACGCTGTACCTACAAACCAACCAGATTGTATTTAGATAATAACTTTCATCTTAAGATTTTAGCCAAAATATAAACATTTTAACGGAACCTAAACAAAACAAACATGCCTTCTGCGCGATGTAAGCTTGCGTTGCAAAATTTTAATTATTAGAATATTGAAAAAAATTTATTTATTTATTTATTTGACTTTTTTTTTAATACATTTTAGAGTGCCAGTGAGAATTTTTTTTTACAGAGAATTTCTCACTGGCACTCTCAACACGACACGCAAGAATGGCACAATTACGCAGAAAACACACACTTTGTGCCCTGAAGATGATTTTAATAAAGATCGAAACGTTGGCACGATAAAGAAAATGTTTTTCAGAAACCTACATCACACCAGACCGCATCTCACGATTTCCGAATTTCTATAATAACTTTTTTCTAAGACGATAGCCTAAATATAGAAATTTTAACGGAACTAAACAACATAAAGTTTACTTCTGAGTGATGTAAACTTTTTATGCAAAATTTTAATTATTACAATATTTAAAAAATGTCTTTTCACTTTTACACTGGACTTACAAACAACCACCTTGTATTTCTATAACTTTTATTTTAAGACAATTGCCTAATATAAAAATTTTAACGGAGCTAAAGAAGATCCTCATTTGTGCTTAAAAAGTAACCAAAGCATATGTTGCTGAGGTTAATACATTCAATTGAAAAAATTTACCACTAAATATTTGACTTTTATTATAAATACCCAAAGCTATAAATTTTCTACCTGGTAATTATTGCATTGCCTATATCATATTTTAAAACAAGATAAAACTGGGAGCGATATCTCCTGAACTTCGCACTGTTTCCTGTAAAAGGGAAATTGAAGATTTGTATCGTTGAAAGTAACAGTACAATTATTCAGCTGTTCTACGAGATAAATCCTTAATTGATAGTTTATTTCATTTTATTATTTTAATTTGATAAACAATAGGGGATAGTTTAAAATAGATTTTCTACAGTGCGTGCATAATCGTGATAAATCCGACACGGTTGTTGAACACAACTGATAAAACGGATTTAAATTTTTTATTTGAACAGAGTTAAAGAGACAGTTTCTCTCATTATAAAATAAAGAAGTGAGAAGAGGCAGATGCCAGGAATCGTCCCTGAATAGGAATGAGAAGGGCGACAATGGTATAATTAAGATATGAGGGTGAATTGTGGATAAGCCCGGCGGATCTGATCAGGCCTCCCTCTGTAAATCTGAGGAAATGGGTAATTAACAATGATAACGAGCTCACGTAGGCCGGGGACCCTCTCGAGGGAGGAAAAGTTAGAGGAAATATACTTAGGAGTCCCGACTTCCCTTTCTTACTTCCTATTCCCTCCGCTCCAGGTACGACGGGAAACGATCCGCTCCCTCCTGAAAACTGCGGACGAAACGTTGTTGCCGATGGGAACACGGCTGCGCGCAAACTGTGAAAACTAGTCTCAAATGAAAATCGACATTACTTGAAACATACATAAGATGAAAATCCTTTCTTTTCAAGTCCCGAAAAAACGCAATAAAAGTTTAAAAGGTCATACATCCACACAGTCTTGGCCTTATTGTTCATTTCAAAAGTACTTTTTATATTCATTAGTTTTCGTAGTCCGCTTAACCAATTAATATCTTTCAATTAATTAAGGTTTTTAGTTGAGATAAAAAAGTCAGTGTCACGAGCGGGATTCGAACCCACGACCTTCGGCTAGATACGCCGCTACTATACCACTTGAGCTATCGTCATCTCGAATTTAATAAGTAAAAATTAAGTATACCTTCACTAAAGCTCTTCGTGGCCATTTCATTTGTCGCCTAGAATCAAATAGATTACACGACATTTGAAAAATGGCAAAAAGGAGGGAAAATTCAACTGGTGCGGTTGAGATGGGAAGTTAGTGTGTCCGAGTGGATCACGATAGCTCAAGTGGTAGAGCAGTGGCGTATTTAGCCGAAGGTCGTGGGTTCGAAACCCGCACGTGACACTGACTTTTTTATCTCAACTAAAAACCTAATTAATTGAAAGATATTAATTGGTCAACCGGACCACGACATCTAGTGAATTTAATAAGTTAAATAAAGTACATCTTCACTAAAGCTCTCCGTGGCCATTTCATTTCTCGCCGAGAATGAAATAGATTACCCGACATTTGAAAAATGGCAAAAAGGAAGGAAAATTCAAAAGGTGGGGTTGAGATGAGAAGTTAGTGTCCGAGTGGATCGAGGTAACGACAGCTCAAGTGGTAGAGCAGCGGCGTATCTAGCCGAAGATCGTGGGTTCGAATCCCGCTCGTGACACTGACTTTTTTATCTCAACTAAAAACCTCAATTAATTGAAAGTACATTATATATTCAGTTAAAAAGACTGAAATAAAACTAATCGTAATCTTTAAAAATATAAATTATTACTGTAAATTATTGGGTAATTATAAATATAAATATTTAAATAACGAGAGAAGAAAAAGTTGAACGAGAGAGAGACAAAGAGTGAAAGATAGAGAGAGGTAGTGAGCGAGAGAACAAAAGAATGAATAAATAAAAATCGTTGTATTTTAATAACGTCGTAAATTTAGGTCGCAAACAACCTGTTTTACAATTAACAAGAAAATCTCAAAGAGCGAGAGAGAAAAAAAATAGGGAGAAAGTGAGAGAGACAAGAAGAGAAATTGAGAAAAAGAGTGAGAGTGAGAGAGAGAGAGACAGGATTAAAAATAAAGAGAAAGGGAGAGTGAGAGAGCGAGAGAGAGGAAAAAAATGAACGAATATCGTTCTATTTAAAAATTCTCGCAAATTTAGGTCGCAAACAACCTCTCTTATAATTAAAAAGAAAATTCATTGAGAAAGAAAGTGAGAGAGAGAAAGAGAGCGAGAGAGAGAAAGCAAGAGAACGAATGAATATCGTTTTATTTAAAAAATTTGGCAAATTTACGTGGTGAACAATCTCTCTTACAATTAATACATCCAGGGTCGGGCGGGAGAACGTTGAACTCATAAAACCAGAAAATACCACGATCAGCCGTAAGATTTGTATTTCAATGCATTTTGTCCTGTTGCCCAGGTTCCTCTCCAAGGCGGGTAAGAGCTAGAATCATTCTCATTAATAATACCTGGTTGTAAAAAGAATCGGTACAATTGGCTGATGGAGAATTTAAATATTCTTTAGGTTGTAATTGCAGTACATATATTATAAATCACGTTTCGTGGACTGTAATATTGAATTGATCAGTTTTTAACATTCCTGAGACTCACGAACAATACGGATCAAGGTATAGTCTTGAAGGAGAAAGCAAAATCAATTGTTACCGCTATGTTTCGATCATTTTATGGTCATCATCAGGGCAAAACAATCTTAAATCTACAGATTGACATATTTAAGTTTTTTACAGGCGATTTCAGATTTCCTTAAAACCCGACACAGTCCCAACATTGCCAAGGACTGTAACCTAGTTACAGTTACAGCTGTTACAGTCGTTGGCAATGCTGGGAGTAAGTCGGGTTTCAAGGAAATCTGAAATCGCCTGTAAAATACTTAAATATGTCAATCTGTAGATTTAACATCCTTTTGCTCTGATGATGACCTTACAATAGGCCGAAAGCTTGACTGAATTTGCTTTCTTCTTCAAGGTCATACATATCTGTAGTGTTCGTGAGTGAAAAAGTAGTCGACATTTCTAATACTGAAATCAGAAAATTCCTGAGTCTCTCAAAGATTACAACATCACTTACTGTTATGCTGTAAGTCATTCAAGTGCGGTTAATTATCCATATGTCTGAAAAGTCCTACGATTTTTCCGCTGTCGTTTGATCTTCGATGACCGTCATTAATTTTACTTTCTTATACTGATTATTTATTACCTTCATGGGAAAAATATGCTATAAGTTGAAGTAAAATGCTTATCAAGATCGGATTCTTTAAGGAGGAAGCGATTTGTTTGTCTGTAGACTTAGTTATCTAATGACTTCATAAGAACTCAAGGGGTGTTGGGTATATTTAAAATTCCCCTCGTCTCTATGTTTTCTGGTCGGGGGTTGGAGGAAGTGGTTTAAGAAGGGGAGGCATTAAAGGCTCATCCCCGCCCTCGCCGCCTTTGGGGGCATTGTCATGCAAGAAGGCGAACCCCGGTGTAAAAGATTTAGAAGGGAACCGGCGAAGCTCTAATGCTTATAAGATGTCCGAGGGAATTACGTTATGATGAGGGGTCGACTAGTTTCCTTATTGGAGTTTAAAGCCCTGGCCGGCCGCCGGTGAAATAGTGGCCTTCCGCCGCATCTGGGACCACCCGGGCCCACTTAATTAGCCGCGTCCTATTTACTGCTGCTACCTAGGCGAAGGTGGATCGCCGTTTAAGTCTCTTACGCCAACTGTATTAAACTATTCGGGGCAGGGGGGACTTAGCGTGAAGTTTGCCGACTAGGCTATTGATACTACTTGATTCATGGAGTTTCAAGGACGAGGCTATTTAGAAGTTGAATTTTCGACATAGTTTGCCAGTCTGGAAATAACCGACATCACTGTCTAACAATTAAAGCAGACTGCAGCCCTTTCCACCGGAAAATCATTTGAATTTCACGCTTGCATTAGATTTGATTTTCCATCCAACTTTCTCTTATTTTTATATAAAACGAAAATTCATTGGATCGTAGACAACACTCAAACTTTAAAGTTTCGGTTTCACAAATAAACCAATAACTCGTTTCGACATCTCCAGGCCAGGAAGCCGAACTGCGCCTAACACACAAGAGAAAGCTAAGCTAGGCGGACCAAAATGATCGGAAACGTTCAAATTACATGGTACGAACACTCCGGATCAATGTATGATCTTGAAAAAGAAGAAATAAAATTTAGTCGCTAATGCCAAGCTTTCGACCTATTTTAAGGTCTTCATCAGAGCAAATCAACTTTAAATATGTCTACAGATTGACATATTTAATTTTTTTTCCTTGAAGACCGATTCAGTTCCAACTTTCTTCTTCTTCACATACCTACAAGAAGACAATAAAAAAAATGAATACCTACTAGTAAAGAAGAATGATTAAATAAGGTTAAAAACTAATAACAATGAGTACTGAAAACTTTTTTTTTATTCATTCTGCGTTTATTTTTGCACGAGTAAGCAAAATAGGTGAGGTAAGTTAGACGGACGGGACTAGACGGGACGGTCAATCGGTTTCCTGGAAATTTCATTGCTGAAACCGGGAACTGCTGCTTCTGTAAAAAGCTTAAATATGTCAATCTGTTGATTTTTCCAATGTCGTGTACATAGTTCATTCATAGTTCAACACCCATTTCTGTCATTCTCATTGATCCGTTATTTACTTAAATTTGGATCCGTGACTGAAATTAGTTTAAATGAGGAATCATGCAGTTTCTCCATCACCTACTAGCTATGAAATCGCCGAGTAGGAATTGATAATCGGTCAACCTTCCGATGAGGAGATTCCTGAAATCAAATGAAGAACAGCTTTCGGATGAAGCTCCACGACCCAGTATACTCAAATTCTACAATTCTCCGAACAGGTGAAGGTCAAATAGCCTTTGGAACTAGAATATCTAAAAAGCTCAGTGTGTGTGTGATTTGTGCGAAAATATTTCAAAACAGTTCAAGGGTTCTAGTTAAATTGCATCGTCATCATGAGGAAGCGAACTGAACGAAACATTCCTATTTACATGAAGGAATGTTGGCTTTGTTGAAACTCTAAACGGTTTGACCACCCATTTATGGTCTTGCAGCATAGTATCTCGAGGTGTTGGTAAGTAGGACATCTCCACAAAGGACAAAGGACAAAGCACAAAGGACATCTCCAAACCAAGAAGGTGTTCACATATTTCATATATTTCTCAAGTCCAGATTGTTTTCTTTTAAAAAATCATTTAACACAGGAAAACACTCTATCCCTTCCTTCTCAACAGATTCACCCAAAACTGGACTTTTCTTTTGAAGGCGCGAACTTTGTAATTAGCATCGAAAATTGTGATACTTGCCGTATCATGGAAAACGTTGGCCAATTTGGCATGGTCCGTAAACAGATTCCAGAAATTCCTGTAATTGTGAAAGTGCTTTCCCACGAGACAGCCTCTCCGTATGGAGAAGCATGGAATGATGTCGTCACATTGTGAAAAGTTTTGACTTCAATGACCGCGACTCGATTTAATTAATAATTTGAACATGCTCGTCCCCATTGACTTTCTTAAAAGAGGCTAGTATTTTGTTTCATGGAATAGCCAAATGGAGTACACAATTACTGCTGCTGCAATCCTTCGATTTATTTTTTATTTTTAGTAATCTCTGATCGTTTGGCCAGTCAATGCTTTTGGACCATCTATGCACACGTCAATGCAATTAGTCCATGGAATTACATGAGTGACAAAGAAATTATCCATCAAACTGAATTGGTATTCTTTATAAGTAAAATAATCTTCATATTTACATCGTTTTTAGAGAATCGTCAAGTTATAATGAGTTGAAACACTTGAGTTCGACGAGGACGGAAGTTTCCCAGGGTAGATTTGAGCAATATTGACCTTAACAGGATGATATTTCTCGTCTACCCTCCTTACAACTATGGCGTTGGCATCTGCGCTTATGGAATTAGCGAAACGTTTGCTTAAATCGTTAAGGGTACGAGTTAGTGACGAGGGGTCCGAGATAGTAATGACATCTGAGTCAGAAGGCTCTTCGTCGCATATTACAGCGGTACACATGTTTCCCTCAAACGGCTTATTAGCGTAACCAAATGCGCCCTTATAAATCACCGTCATCCGCCCTCCAGAATCTTGAAAGGATTACGCGCAGATAAATCTGCCGACGGTTTATATTAATATGTAATTATTAGAAGGGCTTCGTCGGCGTACCACTAATGGGTACCCACAAGATGGCGGTCAAGTGCAGTTAAGTGTCTCTACTTGTGCGGGCAGATGGTGCCTTGGTAATGACACTTAAAGTTGACTATACATCAGGCCAGGTGCGCCAGCGGCCCGCATGTAGAACCAACTTATCTCCAATTAGGATTTCATAGCCATTACGATTTTGTTATATCAAATTGTATTGAACGTATGACTGAGATTTGTTTTTGTTTTTCTGACAGAGGGGAGTAAGTGCCCTGCGCCCGGTTGCAACGGAGAAGGACACGTTACAGGATTGTACTCGCACCATAGAAGGTAATTTTTTTTCAATTATTACTAATATTGTGTTGGAATATTTCATCTATTATAAATAAAACTCACTAGTCATAATTTTTTATTAAAATAATTCAAAAAGCATGCATGATTTATGTAAAAATATATTTAACCAAACGTTTTAATTGCTAATGGTCTTTTTTGCAAACTAATGTTTTCTTTTTCTTCTTAGTTTATCAGGCTGTCCGCGAAAGGATAAAGTAACGCCTGAAAGTAAGTGCGCATGGCTTAGCTAATTAATTCTTACAGAAACAATTAATAAACTCTTCTAAAAAACAGTTAATAATTAGTTAAAACAAATAATACCCCAATATAACTGTGGAGGTAACGTGAAAGAAATATATGTAAAAATGAAAAATCGATATATTGTGTAAGTCTTAGTGGGTCAGCCTCGAGTGTGATTTGGTGAAGTGACTTGTATGTGAACAGTCTGCATGTGTGTGTGAGTGAGTGCCGAAGGGTAGAGGTGAGCCCGCTACGGTCGCCCACTCAGGTCTCCACAGTGCAACGAGCCAATCTTGGGACAGGAGAGGGATGGCCGCGTGCTCTCCTCTATCTTTTCACAACCTCTATCTTTCTCTTGTCTGCAAATATAATTTCCCCCCTGACACACTCACTTATGCCTCTCTACTGTCCCAGTACTGGCTATGCACGAGACGATCCTCAAGTGCCCGACTCCCGGTTGTAACGGGCGAGGTCACGTCTCGTCCAACAGGAACACACACAGGAGCCTGAGCGGGTGCCCGGTCGCGGCCGCCAACAAACAAGCGAGCCGCGAAGCACGGCACAAAGCACAGCACGCAAGTACGTGACTGCTTCGCGAGACGGTCTGCCTTGGATTCGGTCTAACCCGTCGTTTTTTAATGTTTCAGTGAACGCCGAATGCGGAGGACTCGTGGTCGGGTTCACCAAGCCACAGATGCCGACCATGTCGCCGCCAGTCGAAATGAAGCCGTGCTATTACCCGACGCCGGGGGATCTGCCTAGACCGGATTACAGCACGCCTCCTTTTTACAAACAGCCGACGCTCAAACCGACCAAAATCCTCCACCAGGAAGAAACCGACAAGGGCGGTAAGCTGAAAAGCGAGTGCTGCGCCAAAACGGAACCCTCCCCTCCGGCAAGGCAATACGATAACTACATGAGCCACGATTCCAACTCTTCTTCGAGCATGGACACGATGGGAGGACCTCATATGACCAGTTCGCACCTGCCGGTCCCACCCCCGCCCGTCCCGCCGCACATCCCCCCGCCTCCGTACGGGCCTTCCGTCCTGGAGGACTCTAGGCTGCAGAGAAACTACGACGACGAATTGTATAGGGGTTACTCGGGGACGGGATACTCAGAAATGGGACGGACGTACGAAGTGTCCGGCCATAGGCCGTACGACCCCGGTTCCGGCTACGACCGATACGAATGCAACCAGAGGTACCCGGGCACGGAATACACCGACCAGGCGGGATACGAACAGCACATGCAAGTCATCATGAAGCAAGAACAAACCACAGAGTCGGAACACAATGAGCAACCCATATATCCAAGGTAATGCTTGATTTGAACAATATAGAACATTTTTATTACCTTCAACGCTTTGTTGTACCCACCCTTATTAACTTTATCCTTAAATCCTATCTAACCGACCGCTGCTTCAGAGGTGCGGCAACGAAGCCTCGGAAGCCAGACAGTGCAAGCGGCATTCTTGGTCCCACATCATGTTACATCATTCATACTTCTGACCTACCTCTACGTTCTAATACCGCAATTTCGTTCTCTAACTCAAATTCTATCCAAGCTACTTTCATCATCCACCTTGGTCTTACCGATGAATTGTCACTGTATTGTTAAATTGCCATGCCCTCTTCTATATATCAATAAGAAACGTTATTTTTATTAGCAAATGATATGAGAGAGTTAGGGTGAAGGGTGTTCTCTAAAATTTGAATTTATTGTACTTTAAGTTTTCAGTTTTAACGGAAATAATTATTAAAATATCTCCGACAGACCAATGTATCAGTACGAAGCCACCGCCAATGGTACAGTGCCTGCGGGGTTTTCACCTGCAGGATCGGCGATCAACCTATCGGTCAAATGCATGCCAGCGGGCCTGAAACCTGTGGAGCCCGGCTCGCCCGCCGGTGGATCCGTCATGGATCTGTCGACGTCCAGCGTAACTTCGACAAGCCCTCAGGTCAGTTCTCAAAATATATTTTACATTTTCACCAAATGTAAAATATATCTGTTTTATTTTTATTTTCTAGACCGGTGGATATGGTGGGAACAGCTTGAGTCCACACGGATACAACGGGTCGAGAGGAAGCCCGCAAGCAGCGACCAGCCCGCACATCACTGCCAGCCCACAAGTGCCAACAAGCCCCCAGGGGCAAACACTCGACCTTTCCGTCAATCGGTAAATAGAGGTTTTTTGCTTTGTTTTGAATTATAAGCAGAGCCAAGTTGGACTGAAGTTCACTTGCTCCAGATTTTCAGTGCTCTCTCTTTCTGACACTAGGCTTTTATGTGTTGTTGTTACTTAGATGGTGCGTTTTTAGGGGCGGAGGCGGACGCGTTTTTCCCTATTCGAGAGAATCCACCCCCGACTCGTCGCATCCTCATTACATCGATACATACAGGGATGTGAACGGTAAGTTTGAAAGACGAATGTAACGGATCGGAACTAACGGACTTGTATCATCCAGGATACTCTAGCATGAGCCCCCACGCCAGCTACATCAGCGGAGCAGAATACGGAACAAACGGTGTCGGATACACTGGCTACCCAGGGCCTCCCGGCTACTCCTGCGGCTATCCGACAAGCGGCTACCCGGGAGCTGGCGGACCCACCGGCTATGGACCCGGTGCTTGTTATACCATGGCACCGCCGCAGCAGGATAAACCACCAAGTCATTCAAAAGAACAAGGGTAAGAATTATTAATACTAAACTTTATTTATAACGGGCATATAACTTTTTATACTTACAAAACAACTCATCAACTGTCATTCCATTGAAGATGATGATGCATACTAGGAAGCTTGGGTTTTTGTATTCCCCAAGCACTGGCTTCTGTACTTTTTCTAGTTCTTTAGTCAAGTTCAATTGAATCGATCCTTCTCTTAAGAAGTAATAAGTCTGTCATTGCTACAATTATTTCCCCGGATCTTCTTGATATCCTAGGTTATGTCATCATTGGGGGCTTCACATTTAAATTTATTATGAGTGGCAGTTTTTCCTCCTCATTGCATAACCTGCAAATGTGGTCGTCATTGGATTTATCCATTTTGTGTTTGTTCTCAGATACCAGTGACCAGTATATCCCTGCCCTTTGTGCCTCTTTATAGGTATATCACTGTGTTTACCAGTTTTGGAGGTGATTCTTTATTTACTGTATCTGCCACCTCAGTTCGTTCACTTCTCTTTTTATTTTTGGTGAGCCCATTTTGAGAAGGGGAATTCTGTATTTGTTTTTGTTATCTGAAGTATATGTTCAGGGCCTATATATGGTCTTGCAGATCCTTTTCTGGCCAGTTTGTCTGCTTTTTCAGTACCCAGAATTCCTTTGTATATTGGCCATTCACTGACTCATTGGCTCTTAATTCTAAATTTTGATGGCTGGGTTACTTTTTCTAGTTTCTTAGTTTAAGCCAATTGTGTCGATCCTCCTCTTAAGAAGAATTAGGAATTTGCTGCAATTGTTTTCCCTGGGTCTTCTTGGTATCCTAAGAAATGTGTTCATTAAGCGGTTGCTTCGCATTTGGAGTTATTATGGGTGGCAGTTTTTTCTTCAGTGAATATACCCATGTCGTCATGGTGTTTTCTCAGATGCCAGGTATTTGTTCTCTCTTTTTCAGGTTCTGGGAATACGCAGATCCTCCTCTAGCCAGTTTTGTCTTCTTTTTCACACTCTGAACTCCTTTGTGTCCTGGCACTTAGGTATTATTGGGATGTTGTGTTTTCACAGGTTTTGGAGATCTAAAAATTGTCTGTAGACTATTTTAGATGTGACATTTTTATGCCTTTGAGCTTTTATGGCTGCTTGGCTGTTGGATTAGAAGATGTTTTTATCAGTGTTACCTCTTCTTCTTATTTAAGAAGCATTGATAGCATATTCTTCAGCTTGAAATACCGAAATTGATTGCTAATATTTTGAGATTGGATTCACCCCACTGAATACTCACACAGAAACTGTAAAAACATAATTTAAAATAAACTGTTGAGTGCGTACAACAATGACAACTTTTAGCTCATTTCCTAAATTTGCTACTTGAAAAAACAAACGGCAAGGCCAACAGAAGCACAGCTGAGAAAGGAAAAAAGATCCTATCGTCTATTTCTATGTTCAAGAGTTCCAGATCACATTTACTGCACTTGTGTCTTAAAAATGTCAGTTTTCTGCCCAGAACTTTTGTGGCGGTTAATATAATTTAAAAGAGGAATATGAAGAGTTCAAAATTTGAATTTGATAGAATTTTGAGAAATGATACTATTGTTTCATAAAACAAAAAATCTACGATACAGGGCTCATTAATAATATTGAAAGCACATCCCTGTTTGATTAGGCCTTCTCATTGCGACTCGTTGAAAGGTTTCGTCGAGTAGAGGCAGATATTACTTTTTCAATATTGATGATGGCAAACAACTAAGTTAATATTAAAGACCACCTTGGCAAACAATATCCTAGCCCTCGGCCAAGACTTCTCACGAGTAGAGCAAACAAGAGGAGAGCCGAACACGATATACATAATAAAGAAGCTCGACATTTAAAATCGATCAAAAATTCAGTTTCGAACGGCCTCGGTGTATTAATAATTTCCCACGAATATCTACCGTCCATTACAAGTCAAACACACAAAAAACCTAATGCGCCATCTATTTTCCATTTCACACGTTGCAAATAAATTATGGAAATAAAGAAAATAGGATTTCATTTCTAAATATATCGGGTGAAAAAAGCATTAATTACTTAACCATGCCTTGGAATTTTTATATAAATTTTTATTTTGAAAATTGTCCAGTTTAAATTTTGTTGAAAGAATAGAAAAATCTTACATCATCACCGTCTTGCCTGTTGTCACGCATGCTGTGCAGAAGAATAGATAGTGCGTGACAAATCAATCTTTAATCAAGAATTTTATGACGAACCGTGAAGGTTTACACTTTTGAAAAATGTGTGGTGTTTAGTGACCGTTAGTTATATGGAGATCGTGAGAAGCGGTCTGGAGTGAGGTAGGTTTTAGAAAAACATTTTCTTTATCGTGCTACGTTCCGATCTTTATTGAGATCATCTTCAGACTCAAAGGGTTTGTTTACCGTGTATATGTGTCATTCTTCTACGTCACGTTGAGAGTGCCTTTTGAAATATTGTCAAATGGCGAGATGTCAAGGTTATAAGCAGGGAGAGGTGAGACGCTGACTCCATTCCGAGAAAAGGAGCTGTGTCAAACGCGTACTACGTGCGGAAGCATTGCTGTTGCTTTAACGTTCTTACTGACTAAAGTGGTGCTTTAAAAGCTCCATAATTTATTCCGTTGAATTATTGATTGCAAAACTTAATAGTAAATAGCACTGATCTCACACAAGCATACACTTTCACTACACATCGTTGAATATCCTGGTCATGGGACACCCACGACACGCTGACGATAGAATTTTTCAAAATTTCCCTCTTTACAATACTTATAATATTTTCAAAATGTTGTTTTTTCGAAAAACATATTTACCGAAAAGATCTTAGGCGTCAGGCTTATAGTCAGTATGTATTCCTGAGCTTGTGGCTGTGTCAAGCGAAAACTTTGTTATGGTTGATCCAAAGTCTTAAACCGGCCAGCTTTGCCAGCTGTTGGATACATGTCACTGCCCTGACATCTGGAGCAAGCCCGAATTGTAAACCAGCTTCATAGTCTAGTCAGATGGTGTCACGGATATAAGATGGGAGAGGCAATACGCCATTCCTGGGCCTGTGCCAAATTCGAGCTATGTTTTTGTTCTGTATTTATTATAGTAGATAACCATGTTATCGGTAAAAACCGTAGTCAGATTGCATCAGGTTATAAGCAGAGCAAGACAAGAGTGTCTCTATTGTGCTTGTGGTATGCCAAACACGAACTTTATTGCGTTGGATCCAAACTTTATATAATGCACAAGAGAGTCAATAGTATTGATCAAGTACAAGAAATCTTTGGTGCCTCCCATAAAAAAAAATCTTCCTTGAGATCCTAATCATGTTGTACCCGCTGCAAATAGTCGATAGAATTTTACAAAAATACTCATTTTATCATTTATCCTAAGTATTTTTGTCAAATAGTCAGGTGGCAACGGGGTCATAAGCAGGACAAAACGAGACTCTCTATTCTGCGTTTGTGGCTGTAACAAACACAAACTTATTACGGTTGATCTAAACTTTTAAATCTACCAAGCTGTTGAATAAATAAATCTTAAATAACCGAAAGTGTAAACCAGTATCAGGGATGCAAGCCGGGAGAGGCAATATGCCATTCAGGCGAATTGTGTCTGCGTCAAATGCGAACAGAATGTATTATTTACTAGGGAAAACTACAGTCAAATGGTGACTGGGTTATAAGCAGAGCATGGCAAGACTTCTGCGTCTATTGGCTCTATTCCTGCGCTTCTGGCTGTGTCAAACGCGAACGGTTGTTACGGTTATCTAAATGTTCAGATTACCTAGCTCTATCGAGCTGTTGAATACATGGCAGAATCTTAACATATGTAACAAGACCGAGTATAAAATATTTTCACAGTCTAGTCAGATGGTGTCGGGATATAAGCAGGGAGAGGCGAATTGTGTCTGTGTTGAAATTCGAGCTTTGTGGTAGCGTTGTCTTCTAGCATTGATTCTTCAAAAAACCGTTGAATATTATCAGAGTCAATAACTTGGATATTTGCAACAAGCGTCTTTATTATAATTTATGATTAAGACAAATAGTCCAATTTGCGTTTACATCTCCTAGCTGTATCGAAGATTTTAATACCTATAAAAGCCTTGGTATCTGAAATTCTTTACCTCCAAATAAAAATCTTAGCTTTGATACCACTTTTCAACGTGTTGTGGTTTTCATCCAAATTCGGCCGTTTTTCGGTGTTCCGCAAGTGATCATGTTCACTACCATCACATTCTTTATCTGGCACGCATCCCAGATATCTTCAGTGCATAGTCAATGAAAACAACGCCACAAATCTTTATTTCTTGTCAAAACAACCCCTCTTTCACTAATTAATCCAATTTTCTTTCTACAGACTGACGGGAGGATGCGGTAGGAACGACAGGCCGCACATCCAGGCCCATTCCCAGGAGCTGAAGTGCCCCACGCCCGGCTGCGACGGTTCAGGGCACGTCACGGGCAACTACTCTTCCCACAGGAGCCTCTCGGGCTGCCCGAGGGCAAACAAGCCCAAGAGTAAACCCAGAGACGGACAGGACTCGGAACCCCTGAGGTAAACTATTCGTTCAGATCGATTCCAAGCTTTTGTTACTATATCATGGAGAAGTTTTAAGCGGAAAATTGAACTTTCGTGAGAAAGGGTCGTAAAACTGTTTTACTATTTCATTTGGGGCATTTATATAAGACAAAAAACCCTTATTGTTTTTTTAAGGAGTTTAAAAATACATTTTAAGTACATTTTTTAATAAATTTGCTTTATTGGCCTGGGAGAATAGTTGAATAGACTTAAAAGAAAATGTTTTACCACCATCCTTTATTGCATCATCGGACTTAAGGCGCTTTGACATTTTAATCCAACAAAGGATTTCAGCTTGAAAGGTTCATAACTTTCTCATAAAAATTGTCAACATACAATACTAAAGGTTATCATTTTTATTTCATATTTGCCTTTTATAATCAACAATCGTGTCACAGTTCATTGTGTATTCGAGATTGTTAGGGTAAATTTAACGGCATCTCTCTCTCTTTCTCTCTCTCTCTCTCTCTCTCTCTCTCTCTCTCTCTCTCTCTCTCTCTCACTCTCACTCACTCACTCACTCACTCACTCACTTACCCTCTCTCTTTCTCTCTCTCACTTTCTCTCCCAGTCTCTCAGTCTCTCAGTCTAGGAGAATAACAGCAAGTTTAAAAACTGTTAATTGCATCTCCCTCATAATCAGCTGTTTATAAGCTCTATATTCAGCTTGATCTTAAAGCCTTCAAATTTTTGACAGCTTTAATGCCTTACCTCTTTGTGATACCTTAGACTCTTTGATAGTCTAAAACCGTAGCTTTCTGATGTAAGGATCCAAAGGTGTAAAACTTGTGCAACCCCTTGGTTCAATCGTAATTTTCCTTGTTTTAAACAGCTATAAGTTTAAGAATTGTGTTTCTTTATACAGCCCTTTTGCAAAATGAAAAAAAAATCATATCATCTTTACATTTTATATATAATGATTACTTTTAATTACAAAGTTTTGCCTCTTTTTATCACTTGGAACTCAGATAATCTAAATCTTCTTTATGGTGATCATTTGGTTGTAATTTGTCGAATTTGCAATTTTCAAATTCCTTTGCAATACTAAAAAAATATATAAAAAAAATAACATTATGATATTTCAACCAATATTTTATAGGATTAATAAGTCTATGTAATTTAAAATAGTAACACTGTAAAATAAAAATATGCTACTTTAGTTAGAAATTTTGACATTAAATGAATTCAACTCCTCTCTTAATTATAAAATTTTGTCTGTTTTTATCACTTGGTACTCAGATAATCTAAACATCCTCAACTTTATCTGAGCGTGTATCTCTACACCCTGTTCTGCATCCTCTTCTTTACAGTGACCATTTGGTTGTAATTTGTCGATTTTACAATTTTCTAATTCTAATGTAATTTAGTAAGATGAGAGGCTCTGCTTTTCTTTAAGGATCTTGTTTTCTATTCTGGTTTGTTTTATTTTTAGCGTTTTTGATTTATTTTTTGCATTAGAGCCAATGAAGTCATTCATTCATTCATTCTGAAGTATAAAACAGTTTTTTTTTATTGTTTTTTGTTTGGAGATACTCTTTAAGAATTTTCCTCATTTTCCAGAATTATTATCTGGATCCTTTTGTTTAACAAAGCTGGTCAAGTTTTTCATAGGTGTCAAATATGGAAATACTTCTCCTTGTTGACTTATCAACAGTCATGGACCAATTTCTAGAATTAGTGATAGTTTAGGCTTGAATCAATTATCTTAAATTAATATCAAATTTGACCAAAAAAATTCTATCCCTTATTTTAAATTTATATTACAGCTTCCTCCTTTCTTGGTTTCACTCACCTGGGCTTTTTTCAAAATTTTCAAAATAACATTGGCAATAGGTTTATGGTTAACAAATTAAGAAAGACCTTATAGACATTATTAAAGTAAAGAATATTTAAATAATTCCGGATTATCTGCTGCCTCCCTTCGCATTATTAGACATACAGTAAATTACTTCAATACCGACCTACGCGAGTTCTCTTTGCTGTAAAAATTAAAAAAAATAGGATACCAAATCGGTTTGTGGTAGAATTGCAAAATCAAATTATTTCTTTGAAAACCACACAAGACTATGCTTTATATCCATAGCTGTCAGTGGGAGGCCGCATCGTGGAGCGAGCCCCTTGACACTTCTCCAAGGCATACCAACAAGTAGGACTATATTCACTAAATGCTGCAGCGCCCTGGGCTCACTCAAATGTTTTGCTTTCTTCCAGATGTCCCATTCCGGGCTGTGACGGTTCCGGGCACGCGACCGGGAAATTCCTGTCACACAGAAGGTAAGCTTATCACACCCAGTGCACCTTGAACTTGCTAATTTTACTTTTTTTTACATTCCAGCGCTTCTGGCTGTCCGATAGCAAACAGAAACAAGATGAGAGTTCTTGAATCGGGTGGCACAGTGGAACAGCACAAAGCGGCGATAGCTGCTGTCACAGCAGCGGCCAAATTTGATTCCCTCAACTGCCCTCCTACGGGGTGCGAGCCTTTCCTTCCGACACACAGGCCCCTGCAGCCTCCACCGCCACCGCCTCCTCCTCAACCGCAGGCGCCCATACCGAAAAAGAACACCCCGACTACTCTGAAATACCACACCCCTTCTCACAACCCACATGAGGACATGTCCCAAATATACAAACACCATACAAGTAAGTAAAAATAAATGTAGAATATCGAATTTTTAAAAAAGTTGAAGCAATGCTGAACTTAAATTTTAATAACTAAAACTTTTTCCTTGCAGTGCATCAACTTTCATATTTCTAATGTCAATAACCATTGTAAAAAAAAAAATGACTGGAATGATAGAATATTTTCAATTCACCAGAATTTGTATCAGTTCATCATTCTCTCGATTAGCTTATGGTTTTATTCAAACTGTATTTTTAAAAGCATCACAAAATACACAAAAAGGCTAAAAATTTTATTTCTTCTAGATTTGATAAATATTTTTTCCTAATTGTTGTACATATTTTAGTATATTATTTTACTATAAATATTAGTTTACATTGTAAACTGTTACTTTTTACATGTTGTACATTAAAAAAAGCGATTATTCGAAAATCGTGAGGTGCGGATTGGTGTGACATAGGTTTTAGAAAAAGATTTTCTTTATCGTGCCAACGTTTCGATCTTTATTGAGATCATGAAGATCATGATAATCAGCTAAAGATCGAAATGCTGGCATAATAAAGAAAATGTTTTTCTACAACCTACGTCACACCAGATCGCACCTCGCGATCTCCAAATAATCATTGGCTAACGGTCACTAATGATCAATCACATCACATAATGATCAATAAAATTCAAGCTACAAATATTTTTTGGCCCATTTTTCAACCCTTCTACATATTTAATATCTCTCGAGATACAAAGATGTACAAGAAAATTCTTGATTAATACATGTTAGTAGTGCTAGAATTTTTTAAATTGTTAAAATGCTCTCTTTGAGCCAATTATCACTTTTTGTTAGTAAATATTGAAGTTAATAAACCCAGAGGTGATCAAATGCCTGTAAAACTCAGATTATCCAGATTTTCTGTAAAATCTCTTGTAGAAATCGAAAAGTTAGTCTTCAGTTTTGTTCATTGTGCTCAAGAAATAATATTCCTCCATCAGCCCTCTTACACATTCATGATAATAAATACATTCACTAGGTAATTTAATTTTAACCCAGGTAACAGGGAACCAAACGACTTTTTTCCCAGTTTAACCATAGTTTCTCTCTGATTAGGGCTATAAAAAAATGTTACCATTGTATCTTCAATTTTTTCTTAACCGCTTCAATTCCCTCTGTATGTAAGTCATATTTTTGCGAACTCTTGAGTTTTTGTATCCGCATTAAGCGTACTTTTGATCCAAATATAATTTTGAACATATTAGTCTATCCTACATAAGAAAAAATAGGTCCCATCTTGATCTATAAGTATAGAGATAACTTATATTTAATTTTATATAATTAAATATTTTTCTGTTGTGCTCAAATCCTTGTTTAGCCAAAAAAATTGGAAAAATTGTGACCTTGTCAGAAAATATTAGACAGCGTTTTCATTTTCCATGAATAAACTGGTTGTTATCATTTCAAAAAAATCAATTATAATCAAGGAACAGGTCAATTCTTCTAGTAGTTTCATTTTTTTTTTTTTTGCCTCAGGCTTCCGACATCTAGGTCTTTTCAGCCCCCAACTAAGTCTATATTCTATATACCCTTTCAAACACTGCATTCATACAAATAAATATATTCATACACATAAATACATCCATCCATACAGTACACTCATTCTGTTTGGTCGGTGCAGTACTTGATATTCGTCCACTGACCTTTACTCAAACTAATCTAGAATGGGGTCAATGGAGTACTTTTATAAATATTCCGCCATCGAACTTCCCATCTCAACCACACCTTTTTGAATTGAAAAAATGGCAAAAAGGAGGGATAATTCAAAAAGGTGCGGTTGAGATGGGAAGTTGGTGTCCGAGTGGATCGAGGTCATGATAGCTCAAGTGGTAGAGCAGCGGCGTATCACGCCGAAGATCATGGGTTTGAATCCCGCTCGTGCCATTGACTTTTTTATCTCAACTAAAAACCGTAATTAATTGTAATATATTAATTGGTCAAGCGGACCACGAAATTAGCGAATATAATTTGGTTTCTTAAGACTTCTAAATGGCACAGGATATGTATTTTATTTTTACTGATGAACTAACATCCTATTATATTTTTATTTTTTATTTTTTTTTTTTTACTGGGGCCTCCAAAATCTAGGTCATTTCAGCCCCTAACTAAGGAAGTCTATATTCTATTTACCCTTTCAAACACTACATTCATACAAATAAATACATTCATACACATAAATACATCCATAAAGTACACTCATTCCTTTTGGTCGGTGGAGTACTTGACTCAAACTAATCTAGATCGGGGTCAATGGAGTACTTTTATAACTATTCCGCCATCGACCCCAAACACACACTCATACGCTCTCAACGTTCGAGGGGCGATTATGACGTTATATTTCACCCTCACCCCTTGCCATTCACGCTAATAAATACATGCACTCAGACAAAGTGACAAGAAGAGACAAAACATATAGACACACAACACATAAGACAATATACAATTTTTAAAAAAAAAAATTTCCCCTAGAAAGCGGAACAGGGCACCCAGAAACCCGCTGCAGTGCTCGAGTACCATTTTCAGGTGGGATGGCATGCCATGTTTCTAGTATGTGGGACACGTCGAGAAACCTTTCTCTGCATAAGGGGCACCTGCGCGGGCTTTGGCCCAAGAGCAGGTGCCCATGTGTCAACCATGTATGGCCTATTCTTAATTGCATAAGGACGATTGTTTGTTGTTTCCGGCTCAAGTTCTCAGGGGGGGGGCCATCTACGAATCGTGCGCAAAAGCCTCTCGGACAACCCGGCCCACTGACGCTGCCATCTTTCTTTTATCATGTTCTTTACTGCTAGCTTGGCGTCAGACAGCCTGGTCACAATGGTCCAGTCTGGTTCATTACTATTGATTTTCTGAATAAGCAGATGATGAATCAAAGAGAGTTTGAAATTTATAATTCATTACTGAATTTCTTAAATAAATAAAAGAATGATATTCTATCATACACAGTCATTAAATCATTGTTACATTTCTCGTTTAACAATGTAAATACTAAATTAGCACCTCTTACCATATTTCTTTGAATATGAAGAAACCTTGACACTGTTTTCATTATTAGGCGATAATGCATGCCATTTTATTCTGGGTGTATAAAAGTAATTCTAATCAAACCCTGTTAAAAAGGCGTGGAACCAGAATATATATCGTTCATGGATGAAGGGATCGAAAGCGTTGAATGTTAAGAATGAATGTTTATTTAATTTTTTTAAAAATCCGTACTAAAGCAAGAAATAGATTAAATATATTTTACAATACCTTTTATAAGCCAAACTATACTCTCATATTAGAAAAGTTTTCTAAGAGTCAAATATTTCTTAACAGTGTAGTCCCTCGTTTTGTGAGCATGTGTGAATGGCATATGAGAGCGAGAGAGTAAAGTACTCATTAGAGCGATATTACGTGTAGACCCGGACGGGAGTAATAGTGAGGACCTGTTCACTCTAGAAGCGGAGATCTCCGAGCTGCAGAGAGAGAACGCAAGGGTCGAGAGTCAGATGCTGAGGCTCAAGACGGACATCACCGCCATGGAGGCCCACCTCAGGCATGGGGACAAGGTATGAGAACCATTTTTAAAAAGCTGCGTACCAAGTGCAAGTAAGTTATCTGTTGATCTAAAGCCAAACTCAAAATGCATTTGAACATTTGTTTATTCAAAATGTGTAATTTCTCTTTTCAAGAGTTTAGCTTCGAAACAGATAAATTAGTGAAATTAAAAAGCTTTTTACATTTCTTCAGAAATTCCCCTGTTTTTAGTGTTGAGATTTGTTTAAAAAAATTGAGCCCCCGAATATTTCCAGAAAATACCCAGGCTGGAAATGAATGAGAGAACGGGATATTCCAATTTTTTCGGTTTGTGGCCCGGAGCGACAAGGAGTGACATTCCCCTCCACCCATCAGCTTTGTCGTGATTTAACAGCCATTATTACTAAGGTAGAAGAAAGAGTTTCTTTTAATAAATATTAAATTAAATAAGAATGAATTTTTCGATGAACATTGGTGAATCGATTCATGAAAATTAAGTCAGGCATTTTTTGCCAAGCATGCATTCCTCCTTTTTTAATTTCAACATAATTATGACTTGGCTTGCTCTTATTATACTTACTTTTAATTATATTGCAAACATAATAACATTAAAAAACTTTTATAGAATTTGTTTATTAACTAGAAATAATAAATATCATAAGCCTTGTTTTTATCCTAATATTTTATCCTAAATATAGTAGGATAAATAGCAGTTAATATCATAATAAAACTACACTGATACCACCTACTGAAACCTGAATAAAACTACAGTACTACACAAAACACTTTTTTTTGTCAATAATTTAAGCACAAAAAATAAACATATAAAACATAATTAGATATGAACATTATACATGTGAGATTTCTCCGTGTGGTCTGTGGGGTGAACCTGAAATTTTCACCAATACCAATCATTTCAAGCTGCTTATCCTAGCTGTGTTGGTCCGTCATACACACTGAAGATGGCGAAATGCTGCAACACGTCTGACATACCAATCCAGTGAGGATAGGCAAACCAAAATGGTTAGTAGCGACCAAATTTCAAAATTACACTTGCAATTTTTTTTTTAATACAGTAAAATTGGCTCCTTAGGTTCTTTAATAAAAATTAAAAAGACAGAGTGTTAACATATTTTTATACATTTTTTATTAATAGTCATTGTAAGAACAAAATAATAGTTAAACAAATTAGTTAAAAATTAAATAATGTTAATTTTTTTAACTTTTCATTCACCAATTGAAGTGTATATAAATAACATCATCGTGATTCTATTCTAAATAAGATAATTAAATTCTAAACTAAGTTCAAGAGAAAACCTTTTCTTAGATTTGTTAAAAAATAATTGTCTATAGTATTTGTTAAATTTTAAAAGTGATTTTTTTCCTAAATTGACTATTCTTACTAAGAAGAAAGTATTAATTAGCTGATTTTAGCTGTATCACTCGATGTTCAAATCTACATTTTAAGACCAGCAGATTTAACAATTTTAATTAACAAGAAAATACAAGATACAGAGATCAGTAGTAAAGAACTTCCTATGATTTTACATTTATTACATTTTATTGATTATATTCACTTAAGTAAATATAGTTATATTTACTTTATGTCAAACCATCTTACAGACCAATATCCCCATACTTAAATGAATATGATCCCAAAAAAATGAAAATTTAAAAAAAAATTCTCATCAAATAAAAGGACAATAGGGAATCTATTAGAAAATGAAATTATAAATTAAATTTGCTTATTTAGTATTTTCCTATCATAATAATTAATTTACCAGCAAGTCCGTTAGTTTGAGAAAAAATTGTTTAAGAACAAAATGACAATACAGTTTCCCAATTTTTTACGGGGTTCACAACAGCGAAGGTCATATAAATCCCCAGGGTGTCAGTTTTTTTTTTTTTTTTGTAAATGTTTGGACTTTTTACCTTACAGTGATGAGTCCCAGCTGAAGCTATTGATACTGCTTCAGTGGATAATTTCATTTTTGATCCACTTTCCAGGTTTTCTTTCATGATACTCAGAGTGTAAATAAATAAAAATTTATATAAACTTATGTATGCGGATCTTCTTTCTAACATTGATTAATTTTGACCTTTGTTTTGCAAAAAATCAGTTTTTAGTCTACCATATTTTTTAATGTAACATTCGTATTGTAAAACATCGTTATTTTAAATTGTTGAAATTTTTCTGTATTGTCTGCAAGGTGATGAACCTGAAATTTCGTCGTTAGATATCATTTTAGTCCACTAGCCTAGCTGAGTTGTTTTTGACAGACAGTTAAGTGAAGATAGGCTGAGCCAAATGATCAGTATTTGTAATAAAAAAATCGTTATTGCCAAAACCTCATGGTTTTTCTTTTTTTTAATGTTGTACTACAGTTGTTTCTGATTGTTTATTTATTTATATTTTTAACTCTACTATGGCATTATTAAAATAGCATAAAACTCAGCAGGGTATAGTAAGAAATTATGACTCTATTGGAGTAATGTTAACATTTTTAAAATCACTCTGGACAGAAGACTGAGAAGGGACCAAGTGTTAGTTCAAAAGCTTTCAAAAATAAAAATCAAAAACTGGTGGAAAAGTTCGACCAAAAAAAATTAAATTAAAGGTGAATTTATAATTGATTCAGTATAGCATGATAGATTTGCCAGATTTGTACAAGGAATTGTCAAAAATTACACTATTCATATATCACTTGATTAGTAACGCTTACCCCCTTTCCAGATATAAAAAAAAAATCAAGCTAAGTGAACTAACAATTTTTATTTAAATTTTTTATTTATAAATATATTCATAAATAGGTGATAGTACTCGACAAAAGTCCAATATTTTGGTTCACCACCATGATAATAATATGACATGATGAAATGCAACATAAAATAAAATATACATTCAATTGATAATATTGTCCGGTCAAAAAACCAGTTATTATTTCCGTGTGATTTTCTCAAATTTTCTCGTTACCGACCATTGAACGTTTAACTAAAAAATATATTTTTCTACAAAAAAAATCTACAAATTTACAGATTTGAACAGTGAAAAACTTGTTAAAAAAATGCAATAGAACAATGAAGATGGCGAAAAGTCGAAATGCATCTGGCAGACCAAACCAGCAAGACGGACAAAATTTGTCAATAATGATCCAACTGTTTTATTTTATCAAAAAAAATTGCAATAATGACAAAAAATAAATCAGTTCACAATTAAAATCCATGAGTTGTTTTAATGAATTATTTAAAAATTAAACATTTATTTACATGGCCCAGAAAATCCTTTAAAAGACAAACAATTAACACCATTTTTACTAAAGCAATAAAAGATTTTCTGCATGATGTAATCAAGAAATGTTTCCAAGCTACCCCATTATTATTTTTTTTTTTTTAATCGCTTTTACTTTACATTACTTTTTTAAATTTAATTTAATATAAAAATAAAATTTTAAACAAAAAATTATGTATTTTATTTTAATGCAGTATTAAATTGCAGTGTGCTCTTTTGTTGCTTCTCCACGCAAAAGCATATATTATCCATTTAAAAAAAATTATAATTGTCTTTTTCAAAAAAGAATTTAATAAAATATTAATTTGACAATATTAGAAAACATTTTTGAAGAAATGTACCAGTTGGCTTTTCTCAGTCGTATAATTTGTTCGACTTGAGAGAAAATTGTTGTAACTAAAAAATTACTCTTGTCCGCAGGAGGTGAATCAGAGGAACAGCAACTTAAACGAATACTACGAATCTCTGAGGAACAACGTAATCAACTTCCTTGAACAGGCAAGAGTCCCGGGCGGAGGGGTTGGAGTGCAGCCGGACAAAGGGAGCCCAGAGCACTTAGAAAATTACATAACCAGGCTCCAGTCGATGGTCGGACCGACTCAGACCCAGACCCAGGCCAACGGCCAGTCGACAAGCGATGAGACGAACAGGCCGCTTTACGAAACGGTTAAATTCGCACTTCAGGATTTCACTGTCCTCCCCACCCCCATTTGAACTGTACAATAGCTGCTTCGACTGTAAATAGATACTTGCAAAATACACAATGTATATAAAATATTTTGATTGTCGGCTTGTAAGGCTGGATCATTAAAAATGTAAATAACTTGCTCGCGCAACGATAAATAGCTCAAAAGCTTAATTTTATTATTTGTTCATGTGTTCAGGGAATCCTCCTCCCTCCCTCGACACCAAATTTGATCAACGAATATAATGTTTTTTATATGAACAATTTGTACATGGGAGGGACTTCTTTGTCTTCTTGTATATAAATTATACTACGTAAACCCCCTGTATATGAGTGTGTAAATGCGTGTGTGTATTATTTTAGTATAGGTGCTAAAAAAAATACTCTTGTAGAGCCATATAGTTCATTTTTAATAGACCTATTTATACCGGTTGATCAAATAAATACTAATAAAACAATAAAAATCTATTCGACCGTCAGGCATTTAAAAATATAAAAGTATAATAAATATCCAAATGGTCCTAATACGAATAATAACTGTTAACAATAATATTTTATTTAAACAAAAAAAAAGTGCATTACTTACTTTCAAATGTAGTTATATTTTCAAAATATGAGTGCCAAAATTTTAAAACTTAATGCACTGCTCAATCTGATAGAGTGGAAATTTGAGGTATTTTAAGATTTTTACCGGTATAAACGTTTAAAGAAATGTTTGTAAAATGTATTAAAGTTACCAAAGATGGTCCCTGTGTTACTGACTGGCCTAGGTCATAACTCTGTGTTTTCATTATTCCATAATAGGTGTCTTATACATTATATAAATATATTTATTATAGTTAATTATTATTATTATCATTATAAAAAAAATGCTCGTTTATTTAAAGTTAATGTCCATTAAATGCCAAGTTGATGAAGTGTTTGTCAGAAAAACCAACGCTCCAAGGCTTAAGGGTTGATTGTCTTGTACATTTGTATATATTTTTTATGTATCAAGTAACTGTTGAATGTTAATATTATCAAACAGACAAGTCAAATTGGAGAATAAAATAAAAGTACTGAATAAGAGTGAGGGGTGCTAAAGTGCCGGTACGTGAGAAACTGTGTATTTATTTTTAAATTATCACTTTACATTGTAAGTGACTTAGATGTATCTAAGAACTAGGAAATGTAAGGGGCAGGTTAAAGTATCCTAGAGAGAAATCATCGCACGTCAATGATGATGCTAATGCAAAATTATTTCAACATTTTTTTCTGTTCTTTTTTTTTGTATTTATTTGTTTGTGTTCATTCGGATCACGGTCAAAGAGGTCGAGACCGTTCGCTAGTCAAAAATTATGTGATTGTCCCAATATGCTGCACGGTTAGAACAACAGGAAAAACGAACAAAGTATAGGATTGTTATTGTGTATACTAGTCATCAAGATGTTACATATTGTTGTATGTTATTGCGTTATTATATAACTGTTGTCTTTATTTTCTGTTTGGTTTTCGTTTTGTAAATAGCCATTTTTAAGCAGAAACTTTATTTTCGATTGTTAATATTGTCTGTTCTTTCAAAGGATTGTTCTTTTGCCCTTTCAGCCGTTTTTTCGGGGGGGAAACTTTCATCGATACTGATTAAAACAAAAAGAAAAAATAAATTATTTAACACTTGGCATAAATAAGAGGAAAAAAATGTTTGTAATGGTTCAATATGTTGATGTATAAAATACAATTAATAAAATATTATGTACAATGGAGTTTTACTTACAATTTTCAGCAATTTTTCTCAATCAATTGAAATGTCATGCCTTATGTTTAGAAAAAAATTATTTGAATTGATAATGAAATCTTGAGATTTTTTTCTTCACATTTCTTCCACCTCACATTTTAAATTTTTTTTTTTTTTTGAACAGCTTTTCTGTAGGAAGTATGGTGATTTCACTAACATTCAATCCTAGCCTAGCGTGTATGCAGGTTTCAGAGTACTTGATATTCCTGTGAAGACCCGCCCTTGTTCAAGCTAATAAATACATCCATACATTATGTACAATTAAAATTACAATTAATCTAAAATATTAACCTAGGTTGGTGGGTTTATGGGGTACTTGATATTCCACCATAGACCCACCCATACATACACTACTATCACACTAATTCACACATTCACTCAAACAGTAACCAATCATTCTGTATTTACAAATTAAAAAAAATGCGGAGCCACTGGAGCATTTAATATTACAACAGTGCCTCCGCCCATTCACTCTAAAATATATTATAGCTTAATACTAACCTAAATTGGTGGGTCTGTGGTGTAATCGATACACCCATACACTCACACATTCTCGCCAATAAATACACTCACTTCAGGAATGAAAAACGAAACCACGTGTGGAGAAGCATTAAAGGCGGCCATATGCATTTATTTGCTTCAGATATTCGATTACTTTTTGCTGTTGTCATTGCTGTGTTGTAAAACCTCTTTCAAACTCGAGGAAAGACCACACTTTATTCTGTGCGGCGCCTATAGTTCACATTCGGTTAGTAAATGCTTAACAGTTATTTGTGCACCGCATAATGAGCATCTCCGTGGACTTTTTTTCATCAAGAGATGACCATGCGTCAGTCTAGTGTGGCCTATTCACAGTCGGGTCAACATTATTCTCTCTGTTTTGCTCTTATTATCCATGGCCCACGGTTTTACCGACTGTTTTAGTTCTATTAATTTGTCGGTCATTTTGTCTACTGTTGTTTGTTCATTTCTGATCATATTTGCCTGTCTTATATTCTGGCCTTTCAGCTCCTCGCCAACAGACCTAGCTCTGAATATGGCGGAAAGCCAAAATTTTCCTGACAGACCAAACCGAGGATAGTCATACCAAAAAAGAGATTTATGATTGTTCAGCTATAGATAAAATGTATTAAACTACACGCTCATCACCAAGCATACCTCAAAACACTATCTTATATATATATATANGCGACCAAGACCCGAGGGGTTAAATGCCTGGGTAGACTCGTACTCCATCGCTAAAAGGTCCGGGACTTGGTCAGCTCATGTGTCCTGCATAAACCTCTTGGACTTGTTCAAAAAACCCCAAGATTTTGGACCAATTAATCTCGGGGAGTGATTTGGTGATGTCCTCTCCTTCAAAAGTCTCGAATCTAGACCTAGTGTACCTATCGCACTCTGCGAGGTAGTGTCATGCCGTTTCTTCTTTTATTTCACAAAAATGGTAAAAGGATCTGGTAGAATACCCATTACGGAGAGGTGTCTTCTTAATGGGCAATGGCTCGTCAGGATACCTGTCAACCTCCTAATTCCCTTCCTTGAGTTAGAGAATAGCTATTTCGATTCTGCTGGTTTGATTTCCTTAACAAACTCTTTTGATTGCCTGTGTCCGAGGGATAGATTCCATTCCTTAAGGAATTGTTTCATACACCAGATTTTAATACTTTCTTTCGCTCTGCTCATAGAGTGAGGTAATACCGGTTGTGACCCGACAAACGCAGTATTAGAGCCTTCTTTGGCCAGGCTATCCGCCTTTTCATTGCCCAGGTGTCCTTTATGTGCAGGTATCCAAATAAGGGTTACCTTGTTCTCAAATCTGGAAGTGATCCTATTGATAAGATCAACAGTTTCCTCCACCAGTCTAGATGTTGATAAATCTTTTTGTAATGACCTAAGACTGGCCTGACTGTCGGAAAAAATTCTAATATCTTTTCCCTTGATTTTATTTTCCATAAGTGTTCTACAACACACATTAATGCCTGCATTAGTGCCTGAAAAACGGAGGTGTTATTGCCAAGAGGGGAGGAGATGCTGACCTAATTTAGGTATATGGATTCCAGCACCTTAGATACCACCTTTGATAAGTGAACCATCTGTATAGCAGTCTATGTTACGATGGTCCTCATCCGCACTACAGTTGTATTCACAAGGAGTAACTACCTGAAAGTACTTTTTCCCCAAAGGGTAAAGTACCTTTTTATCGCTAACGCTTAATAGTTGGCCGTTAACCTTACTCAATAATTGCATGATTTTCGAGTGACCTATGTTATTACCCTTAAGGTTCCAGCTGCCTTCACTAATTAATCTGTAGCAGCTGGTTAGTGCTCTGACCTTAGCCTCTATGTGTCGAAGTGTGGTATTGGTTATGATGTCAAGTGCTAGGGTGGGTGTAGTTGAAATGCTCCTGTCATCATCAAATAGCCTAGTCTTTGAAATGACCTTAATTTGTTAATGTTCCCTTTATTTTCCAGCCCTGTCCACCATACTAAAGCTGCAAACAATAATCTAGGTAGAACTGCGGTATATAGCCATTTAGCTACCCATGGTTTGAGACCCCATGTTTTACCAACAATCTTCCTACGTTGTAACATAGACATTGTACCTTTCCTGTATATATTATTAATATGACCTTTCCAATCGAGTTTCCTGTCAAGCGTCACCCCAAGGAATTTGATTGATTAAACAATATCTTACAATTAACCTCTTTTTATTTAAAGTTTGAGCTTCAAATAGCACACATATTACACGACTACAATATTTGGTCTTTTTTTTTGCAAATTGTTCAACGGAAATAACAAGCTTTGATCTTTTTAAAGCTGATTTTATAAATACATATCATATTACAATTTTTGACAATATTTGTATGTCATTATTTCTTCAATTAAGACTTTTTACCTATTAACAAGGATATGTTTTTGGGTTGGATACACATTTTTTGTGACCATTTTCACACTATCTGAACAAGCGCTTTATGTTATGTAGTGTTTAAATTATGATTATGGTTAGGTCCCTGATTTGTTGAAGCAGAGAAAATATGCGTGTACGAAGCACGATTTAGTTTTGATGTTGGTGATTGTTGTTCGGCAGGTGGATGAACATGTGCTACATTGATCACTTTACTGATTTATTTATGTGGAGATCAGTTCAACATATTTTGGTTTTATTTTATAAATCTGCTTTTTGATAGTGGTCCAATGCTTAATTTATTTTCTGTTGAAAATGAGACTAGAAATATATTCACTTTTATAATTACATTTACCTCAATTAAAAAAAAAAAAATTTCAAACCAAATGAAAACATAGGAGCAGGGTACTAGAAATAATCACTTTAGACAAAACAGTATAAAGAACTTACACTCAAGTATATAACGCAAAAAATTAAAAACTTACCAGAGGAGTTAGCTATTTAGTGATGCAATCAGACTAAAATATGTTTCCAGTATCTGGTTATTCTCAGAAATCATGATACCAAAATCATATAGACCCACATCTCTATTACCAACAATCTCTAAGCTTTACAAGTAGATATTACTAAAAAGAATAAAACTTATAATAGAAAAAAAGAAACCAATTTTGATTCTGGTCAAAATATTCAACAATGGGCCAAATTCAAAAACTAATTTATTCTCCTAACCATGACGTTTCACAAGCTTTTTACTAGGTTTAGCAAGGACTTATCCAGTGAACGAGATGTATGCTACCAAAGCAGTATGCAGATATCACTTCCTGCTTAAATGAAAGAAATTTTTATAGGCCAACAAGAAGATCAATATTCAGAACTAAGAAAAATAAATTTGGAAGTCCCCAAGGGTGTTGTACTAGGTCCAATGCTTTATTCGCTATATACCAGTGATTTTAGGGGGCTGTGGAGACCAAGTGGTGTTAGAATGTCAGGCGATAGCAGATAACCATGGATTTTTAATTTTAGTTTTTTCAAAATCAAACTAGTGATTTTGGACTGGACAAATGGATAACCTAAAAATTGCAATGTTTGCAGTTGGTACAGCAGTGATATTAACAGGCCCAAGCACCGACCATTCTTAAAAAATCCATCAAAATATGTACAACAACATAAATAAATGGAGGATGAGGCTCAATCAGATCAAATCTGTTTGTATAAAGTTTACATATAAATATTTGCACCATATTCCATCGCTATCGATGAAGCTTTCATATTACACAGTGATACAGCTAAATATCTGGGAATGACTCTACGTGACAAGCTGAAATGGAGAAAGCACATGATGAAAAAAGGTCAAACATATGTATACAACTCTAATGGTTGGTATAATAATGCGGCTCCAACCTCGCAATACAAAATAAAATAATAAAATACAATCAAGTCTTAAATCCTATGTGGGGGTACGAACGGGTACTATGCGCCTCTAATACCCAACTCCGACTTTCCACCTTCACGAAGCTTATGCGGGTGTACCCTGTTAACTAACAAACGGAAAGAGGGGTATGGAGGGACAGGAGCTGGACCTGACACCTCCTAATCCTAAACCCAACACCTACCCCTCTTCCCACCCCACACCTTATCCTGGTCCCACTCTCCAGCCCAAATCCAAGGTGTTATGCGATCCGTNCACTCATATCATCTTCGAATGCGAAGCAACAGCTCAATGGAGGTTTAACCTAGCGTACGAAAAAGACACAGGGAACCAAATTGCAGCAATAACAGTCAATGACTTGATGCTTCTGAGAAGAAGGATTGAGTCTATTGACTAAACTAGGGAACTGGGAAGGTACAATAAGCCAGAAGGCTGCAGTGCCCGGGGAGTGCAAACCCCGCTTCCTAGTATCCTTTTCTACCATACCATAAATCCTATGTGAGCATAACCTATTCAATCATGGGGTTGTACCATATTAAGTACTATAAAAATTATACTAATTCTACATAAAATGGTCAATGCACCTTGGCACTTAAGAAATAATTAAATAATACAAGTACATACATACAAGTTCCCTGAGGTATGAGCAGAAGTACAAAAATTTGTCAACAAGCTTCTGTCTCGCTTCACTTGCCCAATGTGGAAGGGACAAAATAGAAAAAGTTGAAAAGAACAACACTATTTAGACTAGAAGTGTTAAATATATTTTTAATAATGAAGTGTAAATTTTATTGTACCAAGGGTTAATGGTTTGGTTAATAGTTTTGGTTGGTTAAGGGTTAATGGTTTGGTCTATGAAGACCAGGTTTAATTTGTTTAAGTTTAGAAAAACTAGACAGATTTGTGGGATCAATTGAAGATATGTAAAAACCAAATATTTACCTTTTTTAATATGAAAAAACATAATACAGAAAAATTTGTGTTAATCAAAAAATTTTTGATTTCATTCATTTTGAACAAGAAACATTTGTATTACTTACTTTTACAAAATTTCCTCATTATACAATAACTTATCTATAATCCAAATTCAAAACATGATTTAAATAATGAAAATTTGCACAAGAGAAAAATAAATAAACGTACAATTGTATAAACTGCCCACGTTGATAGTGCGGCAGGGTTTTATTGAGCGATGACCAAACATTACGCTTCAAAATTTCGTAATTGCTAACGATTGCAACACAAATGAAATCAATTAACGACATTTATCAATCTGATCTGATTAGTTGTGTTTAGAGTTAATCACACTTTTACAAAATCCCTTTGTTGAAGGGTAAAGCCGGTGTGATTAAAATACTGTCTTCGTACGTGTCGTCACGTTTCATCTTTTCTGAATAACACACAGGTATTCGATTCAGGAGTGTGGAGAGGCCTATAAGTAAAAATTTCGGTTAGAAGAACCCTGCAAAATGATGAAACGTGATGCTTCCTATTTCAAATTTGCCATAGCGTCAATAAAATCAATGACGATGTCGTCACAAGTTATATAATTCAAAAATTCTTTCAGTATATACTTATCTGATTCTTTAAACTTTATGAGTCGCTGGTATACTTGTTTCATCCTCTCTGTGTTATGCCTAGCTACAACGCTGTGGTTTAACATAGGACGTGGGTAGTCAATGCCAATTATGCATTTTGCCGCCTTTTGAACACTCTCTGGACAATTCCACGGTTCATGGATGTATTTCGTTGGAATATTTTTTAAAACTGGCAAGTATTTCCTGTAAGGAAGTAAACAATCATTATTTTATTGTTTGAAATTTTAAAAAATTAAAAATACAAAAAAAATCACTCGCCTAATATAATCACCATTTGGATCGGCTTTCCTTCCGAATTTCACAGGGCAGTAACAATGGAAAAACTGTTGGAAAAAAGAAGAACAAGACAGCCACATCCACATTCCTGCATTCACCGACCAGTCAGCATCAAGAAGAAGTTCGTCAAAAACCTAAAAACTCAAATTCTTATAAATCGATCATAAAATTGGAATCGTGCTCCATTTTACCTTCATACCCTCCTCCCAGGAAATCCAAAGATCCCCCCTGGTTAAAAAGCAAGCGACGGCATGCCTCGCCAGATGATGGATCCAGCCTTCTTCGCGCAGTTGAGTCATTATCGCGTCAATCCAGGGAAATCCAGTTTGCCCCTGGTACATAAAAAAACATCAAGCTAAGTTTTGTAATTATTGATTAATTATGTAATTTCGTAAGTCAATTAAGCATTCCTAAGTATTATCGGTTACGTACTATGATTTTATTAAAAATAAATAAACTCTTACATTTGCCCATTTCGCCAGGGCCTCCGGATTTTTGTCCCAAGGTATTTGAACGCATATTGGATTACCTATCATTCGGTCGAAATTTGGATTTCTTGTCGCAGCACAGTAAAAAAACTCCCTCCACAATATTTGACCGTGCAAAGAGAGAGGTGGAACTGCTTTCTTTATCTGAAAATATTAGTATTGGGTTGTCCGGAAAATAATGCAGGATTTTAAGTTTTCATTAAAAAAAATCTATATAAAATATTCTGTTTACGTTTACAGGATTACTCATTTGTATGAATGTCANATTATTTTGATTAAAGAACATTGCTTTAAAGTAACTAGTTTCTTTTTTTTTGTTTAATACCAAAATCCTGCATTATTTTCCGGACAACCCAATATCTACATTCAAAATAATACAAAACAAAAAAATACAAATAAGTAAAAAATGTCTAACAACATTTTGCCTTAGCTTTTATTATGTACTTTTCAATATGTGAACACAAAAATAATATAAACATTACCCTTTTATATAATTCGTTGAGTTCATAATAAAAAAGTCTTGTCGACAAGCAGCCAAATCTTAAATAAGGGCTTAAACCCGTCTGCGATGGCAGCAAAGACTGTGGTGTCATTTTCGGACGACCGAAAGAAGCAACCCAGGCCTGATCAAAACAAAAAATTTATGTATATAGATTAATAATATAATAGGGGGGGGGAGAGATACCTTTCTTTCTAAGTGCCTTTCTAGGCGAGACAATGCTTCTGATTCCCCTCCGTGCCAGACACTAGGCAAAAGACCTTCAGTGTCGAAACCTTAAATTATACCGAACAAGTAAATATAAATTTAATTCAGTCTTTATGATTTTATTGTGATAAATTTTACCAAGTTCTTCAAGCGTTGGGATGCCGTATTTTTCATCGTGGTCATCTGATAAAAGAGAAGTTGCAGATCCAATCCATGACAGTGTGACTGTTGGCTCTGGATGTGGTGGGGCTTCTAAACTTGATATGATCGACTGGAACTGGCGGTAAGTCAGCGGCGCTTTACCTCCGTTTTTTTCGATAATTCTAAAAAATAATGTTAAAAATGTCTAATCAATCATTTTAAATTGGGCCAAAAGCCTTACTTTTCCAATTTATACAGTGTGTGTGCAACCGACGTTACAACACCTATGTTCATCGATTTGCACATCACTATGATGTTCTGGTCCCGTACTCTGCCGAAGGGCTCGGGGTCTTCTTCAAAGGAAAGGCAAGTCGTTCCCCATTCCTTAATAACAGGACGATCAGATTACAGGACGAAAAGATAATTCGTTCAAACGTACCTTCAACAACTTGGGTAAAATATCAGCAGGCTGGCCTCTAATAACAAACAAGCGAGAGTTTAAATTCCTCAAACTCCTGTCGATGTCCTCAAGACACTGAAGCAAAAATCTGCAAACACATATCACAAGTTAGAAACAATAATTCTGTTAAAAAATATTACAAATATGAAAAATGGCAAAAAGAAGGGAAAATTCAAAAGGTGCGGTTGAGATGGGAAGTTGGTGTCCGAGTGGATCGAAGTCACGATAGCTCCAGTGGTGGAGCAGCGGCATATCAAGCCGAAGATCGTGGGTTCGAATCCCGCTCGTGCCAGTGACTTTTTTATCTCAACTAAAAACCTTAATTAATTGTAATATATTAATTGGTCAAGCGGACCACGAAATTAGTGAATTACAAATTTAAGTAATTATTATATTTTTAATGCTAATTATGTATTGCATTGCTCTGTTTGAATTAATAATAAAAAAGTTAAGAACATATTGGTAACAGTTAACATTAAAAAAAGAAAAGAAAAGAGCAAATTACGTTTTCGAAAAATATCTCCAGTTCTTTTGTTAGCTTCCAACTTTGGCTTCATTGTTAGGGACATAATTAAAGCATGATGTCAAAAGGCTAAAAACATGCTTTTATGCTTTTATCTTATGTTTTCTCATTACCATCAGCCATTTTATTTAGAACAAACGCTTTATTTCTGGAACTATTTATTAACCTAAGGATTTCCATCAATTTGTTTAATGTTTTGAACATTTTATATGGCTATTCAATGTCTGCTGTTAAGGGGGTCTGAGAATGATTCTAGGTGAATTCGGCAGTCCAACAAAGTTGTTTTCTGAGTCATATTCTTTTCTCTTGTCATAAACGACCTCTACATCTTGATTCACATGCTATAGTGGGTGAAATCAAGGCTCTCATGTACACCAAATATGTGTTATTTTTGGCGAATTGTCCTATCTTCAAAGATTCTATGGTTTTCATGGTGGGTAGGTAAAAAAATGTTTTTCAACGATCAGCAAGTACTCTTAATAACATACGTATATCCGCCTATTGCCACGTATGAAGGTTAGGAATTGTTAGGTTATGTAGGGTTAGAGTAAGGGATGAATTAGGTAGGATAGTGTTTGGATTATAGTTATGGTTATGTCCATGATTTGATGAAGCAGAGAAAATATGTGAGTTTAATAATTTAAATGATGATGTTTGTGGATCCACAAGTGGATGAACATTGTTGCCCTGATCACTTTACCAGACACAAGAAAGAATTGACGGATCCAGTAAATTGATATGTCGATCAGTTCTGTTTTTTTGCTAGTGGTTCAGGTGGTTCAATCCATAGACAATGCATAGAACTACAAGTCTATTTTCTACTAAGAGAGGACAATACAGCCAAATTTTTTCAACTGTCACCTTGGTGAAATTTTCAAGCCAAAAGGAAAAGATTAGTGGCAGGGTACGAGAAGTAAAGATCACTTTAGATAAAAAAATATATAAAGAAGGTTACTTGCACACAAATATATAACAACAAAAAAATGAAAAACTTACTAGAGGGGTTATTGAAACTAACATACCTATTTAATCCTGCAATCAGACTAAAATATCTTTATTTAAGTATCTAGAAATTTTTTGAAGTCATCATGATACCAAAACTAGACAAACGCCAAACAAGGTCAAGTCAAATAGACCTGTATTATAAGTTTGTTTTGCCTAATGTACTGGACTTTAGAAAACAACTGAAATGTACCAACAGATGCGACACACTAATACTTCGGACCTTCTTATAGACCTGTATTGCTAGTATTGACAGTTTTTCTAAAAGATGTATATATACGTATCGTATGTTTTGTTTCTATTCTGTATTTGACAACCTGAGGTACAAACGAGAGACTAGCATTCTAGGATATCAACGTAGTGTATATTTGAAATCAGAGAGTCAGTAACCAGATCGAGATGCTCAAATGGCTGCAGTTTAAAACAAAATATGCGCGAAAGAAGAGAAAAAGAAGGAAAACACGCAGAGGGCCGGCGATGACCTCAGCTGTTTGTCGGTACATAATTTTTTCCCTAAACAGAGGATCCTGAAACTTGCTAGGCTATATAACTAGGCGGCATACCTACACGCTCTCTGTATGGAGCCAAGGCATAACACGCCTCATTATGCGGGACACATCGACCAGCCTTTCTCTGCATAAGGGGTACCTGCGCGAGCTTTGGCAAAAGAGCAGGTGCTCGTGTGTCAACCGTGTATAGTACTGTGTTATGTAGATTGAGTTCGATGGGGTATTTTTTATAAAATTTCCATCAGCCCAAGTCATACACCCAACCTGAGAAGCGATGCTACTTCCCATCAGCCCCTCCCCATTCACACCAATAAATACATTCACTCATACACTCCACTTTATTATTAGTTCTTAATATAATATTAAGCGCAAAAAAAAGAGTTCATAGTATTACATTTTTAATTGTAAATATGTTTTGTAATTTTTAATTTTATTTTTTATGTTATTAGTTTACTATGTTTAATTCGTGTAATACCTAATACAGAATGTAAAATTTTAATAAAATCCATTCTCAACACACATTAGGACACATAACATTACTATATACACTGAAACAACCAACCGGGGACCCAGATACTCGCTGGCTGCTCTAGAATTCTCATATCGAGTGGCATTCCTACACACTCATTGGACACATCCATCAACTTTTCTACGCTGTCGGACGCATACACGGGTTTTGGCCCAAAAGTAAGTGCCCGCGTGTCAACCTCGCAAGGCCTATTCTTATTCTTCTTCTACGAGTCAGGTCCCTACAAGGAACACCTATCAACAGTGCTCTTGATACGCGAAAACTTCTCTGTCGACCCGGCCCATAGACATTCTGTGTTATTTATTGCGTTTATAGCGCCAGGGGGCCGGATTGAGGTTAAGTCCGGAGGTTGGGACGTCCCGGCCTTAGCCACCTCGTCCGCCTTTTAGTCACCTCCACTACCCAGACAATAACCATCGTATTTCCGAAATGCTCTATCTCTCCAACAAGAGCACAACGAGAAGATCGATGGACAACCTGACACAGCAATAAACGCGCTGATAGAGTCGGTGCAGATTAGGTAGGCGGAATCAAAATAATTTGTTAATTTCTCATATTATTTTACTATGTTATTACTTTCATTTTTATTTCTTCTAGATTTCATAAATGTTCTTTGCTAATTGTTGTACATTTTTTATTATATTATTTTATTGTAAATATTAGCTTACATTGTTACTTTTTACATGTTGTACATTAAAAAAAGCGATTATTCGGAAATCGTGAGATGCGGTAGGTTTTAGAAAAACATTTTCTTTATCGTGCCAACGTTTCGATCTTTATTGAGATAATCTTCAGGGCTCAAAATGTTTGTTTTCTGCTTAATTGTGCCATTTTGCGTGTCGTGTTGAGAGTGGACGCAAAATGGAAAATGTTTTTCTGAGACCTACGTCACACCAGACCGCATCTCACGATTTCCGAATAATCTAGACTAACGGTCACTAATCACCACACATTAAAAAAAAGCGCACTAGCATTGTTATAACATAATAATAAAGCAAACAAAAAATTTCTTGATTTATTCATAAAGTGCAACGTGACCAAAACATCCTAGTGACAATAAATAAATATACAGATTTGAAACAATCGATTCAGAAACAAATCCAAAATTGCATAATTGACAATTAGAGGTGGCGCCCCATTTTGAATTTGGGCGGAAATATTATATAATCGGACGCTATTACATAAATTGTGCTGGACAGAAAAGAAAAACGTGCGGGTACATAAAAGACGAATATCGTGTTTTACAATTTTAGCAATACCTTGGTCAATTTGTTAAATCAGTACTTTTGCCTTTTAAAGTACTGTAATAACAACTTTTCCGCCAAAAAGGCACTGTTCTCTATAAAAAATGAATATTTATTTTTATCCCCTGTTTTATCCTGATCAACATATTATCCCTGTGTTTACGTGGGAATGTAAATCGCCGAGTTCTGCTTTTCTCTCTACGTCGTTGATTTCGCCGTGGCCCAGGTGCACCGCGCAAAAAATCAGGAGGGAAGGACCCAATATAATTTTACTTTCTGAAACCTGGATAAAAAATTCGGGTTTTTGCTTGTAATATGATAAGGGATGATCGTGGGATATGCTGGTTCCGCTATACCTGTTCATGAAAAAACTTCACACCGTTAAACATAAATATCTCCAACTGTTTTATCCAAACGGTGACCGATCCCTCTACCCCAATATACAGGGTGGTCCAGCATAAACCCGAAAGACAAAATTTGGTTACAACCCTAAAATGCAACCAACCGATTTGTTCTATCTCAATCCGTCGGAAGTTATGAATTTAAGCCATAAATTGGCATTTTTTCAAGACCTAGACCATCTGTTCCAATTTTTAACCACATTTTTGAAAATAAATATCTATTTTTAATCCCATCTACTTAGCCTAACCCTCTACACCATCTACACCACCTTCACTGTTGACATACCCACAACAACTAACAACCTACTCGGAAGACGCCGCAATCTTGTCTACGCGCTCCAATCCTATCCTAGCAACAGAAGCAATCCAACATCTGAACCTCATTACCGACTTGTGCAATCTGTTAAATGAACAAAACAGTCAACAAGTTACGTACTCAAACGTCAAACCTGCCCAACAGTGCATATTAACAAGTACCACCATCGAACCAAGTCCGCTACCTTGGGCGTTACTTAGACTTACATGGAACCCACATACAAGATTGAAACTTAACGAAAGATATTTACTACTCAGACATCTACTGAGACCAAAATCAACACTAGGCATACATAACAAACTAACCGCTTACAAAACACTCATCAGACCTATTTGGACCCAAGGAGTACCAACTGTGGGGCTCGGCTAAATCATCCAATATCCAACGAATTCAATATTTTCAATAGAAAGTTCACAGACGTATCCTCAATGCTCCTTTCTATGTCACCAATGAAACTATACATAAAGATCTTAAAATCCCATTCGAGAAAGATCTTAGGTGGACAATGATTACCACGATAGAAATAAAAGAAATTCGATCCTCAACCAGTTGGTCGACGTTTTCAAAACAAAGGATACAAATGCAACGAGAGATGACTGTCTTTTGTTTTCTAATCAAGGGGGTAACAAGCTGGAGTAAATATAAATAAGACAGTTTTTTTTTTTTTTTTTTAAGTTTTGGTTGAAATGAAAAAAATAGTGTCGAGGGGATTCGAATCCACGACATTCGGTTAAATACGCCACTGCGCTAACCACTTGAGCTATCGTGACTTCGATAGTTCGATCCACTCGGACACCAACATCCCATCTCAACCTACAACCTTTCGAATTTTCTCTCTTTTTGCCATTTTTTGGTGTCAGGATCGAAGTCACGATAGCTCAAGTGGTAGAGCAACGGTGTATTTAGCCGAAGGCCATGGATTCAGATCCCTCTCGTGGCACTAGCTTTTTCATTTCAACCAAAACCTTACAAAAAAGATTAAATAATTGAAAGAAGTAATTTGGTCAATAGAACACTAAATATAATGAATAAATAAGACGTTTCATCCATCCTTAAATAGTTCCTCCAATCAGCGGGTTCAAGGGAAAGATCTTTCATCAAATTGATGTGGGTATTACGGCTTCTGTTCAGGAGCCACTTCTTACACCATTTCCTTTTCGATTTTTTGCTTTTAATATATAAATAAACAGAAGCGTAGCTCAAGAGATCGTCATCCATTTTGAGAAGGTAATTCACTGGTTGACGTTCGGAGCGATTGGCTGTGGAGAGGTCGTGATTGCCCCCTCAAATTTCAGGCACACCAAATGGAGCTGTACGGCTTGGCGCGGTTCCATTTGGAGCGATCGTGAATGGCCACCTTTATCCGAACACGCTTGTTCACTTTCCACTCTAAACTATCCCTCCACCCTAACCCATTAACCCTCGGAGTGCCGGTGTTTTTGAAAAAAAGCCCATTTGTAAGTATGTGGGGTTCGAATGCAGGGCCGCTGGATTCGAACCTGGGACCTTTACCTTACAGTGATGAGCGCCGTGTCAATGCCTAAACCGTTGCGGCCACCGACGCCCCCAAGTAGAGATATTTAAGTTGTTTTTAAGTTCTATGTAATTATATTGATTGTTAAATCAATTGTATACAGGTTTTTCATAATTACAATTAATTAAGGTTTTTAGTCGAGATAAATTAATTGGTCAAACGGACCACGAAATTAGTGTTTTTCATAATGTGAAATTAACATAGGCCCCGATGAAGACCTTAAAATAGGTCGAAAGCTTGGCATTAGCAACTAAATTTTCTTTCTTCCTCTTCAAGACCATACCTTGATCCAGATTGTTCGTAAGCTATATTATATAAATATTTTGTTTTTTCGTAAAGGTTCGGATTGTATGAAAATTTTGAAAAATGTATGAAAAATGTGCGCATGCGTGGTTTTAGATATTAGAAGAGAAAAGGGTTAAGGATTTTTTTTTAATGAAAATTAGCATTTTTCACTTACCTCCATTTGTTAATGCCGACGTTTGAGGCTCCAGCAAACCAAGGGTCGAGTATGAAGATGCATCTGAATGTCTTGGCCCCTTTGAGAGCCTGCCGAAGACTGGGATTATCGTGTAGTCGCAATCCTTTTCTGAACCAGTGCACGGTGTTCTTCTCTGTCATCATTTACGTGATGTTGATTTTCATTACGACCAAAATACAAACTGAGAGCATTTTTGACGTCGTGTCACGGGAAAGACCAGGGGCAGAATTTGGAACCGGGCTCTATCAGTGCATTGCCCTTTTATGCTGCCGGGGCTCCGATGTAAAGTCGGATTGTGTTCGACCTCCGGAGATGAGAGGAGGCTAATATTTTCGTTAAAACTGTTTGGCTTTGAGTTAAAACAGGGAACAAAGAGGACGCACATTTAAGCGTAACGTGACCGGTGACATCACCGCGGTGGTCACGCGGCCCTTCCACCCCACCATGCCTCACGTTTGGACCTGCTTCACCTATCGAACTCTTCGCGCAAAATATTTTCACTTTCCTCTCAAAATTTGCCTCTTTTCCTGCCTCTATATAAAAAGACAATTTCGCCCACGAAAGAACAAATACACTCTATTAACTTGGTTAAATCAATATAAACAAATGTTATGTGTTCGTTGTTTTTTACATTTGTAACAAAATGTTTAAAAAATATCGAATAAATAATACAGCTAAAAATCTATTTCAAAATTAACATATCTCTATATGAAAATAAACATATTATCTTATTATTATTTGTACGCACAAGATTATTCTTACTTGTTAATCTACAACAAAGATATCTCCCTTATTAACTCTTTTATATAACATGCTGACTGATATAAAAGATATTTATTTATACCAAAATAACTACATTGATAGGGGGCGTCGGTGGCCGCAACGGTTGGCGTTGACACGGCGCTCATCATTGTAAGGTAAAGGTCCCGGGTTCGAATCCAGCGACCCTACATTCGAACCCTACATACTTGCAAATGGGCTTTTTTTAAGAAACACCGGCAGAGGGTTGATATAACCTCTGCTGATGCGAACCCTCTTAAACTACATTGATGAATAAATTAAACGCACCACCCTTAAATTTTAACGTATTTAGGTTTATTCATATTTTTCATACCATCAATTGGTTTACAAAAATAAAACATTTAAAAAGAAAACGTTTACTACCTGACAAAAAAAAA